TTCCTGCCCCCCTCCCGCCTGGGCCACGCCCCACCCCCAGACAAGCGTGTCTGGTTTTTTAGCGGGGTCTACCTGGCAACCCTTCTCGTGTGTTTAAATTTACACACTTGTTTAAGTACTTTTCTGGACTGGGAAACAGCCCTTAGGTGGCAGCTGCAACTGATTCATTAATAGGTTATATGGACTGGCAATTAGAGGGAGCCATGGACTCTTGTTTTGGAAATGTGGGTTACATAAGGAATGCAGGATTGTGGCCAAAAGTTGTGTACTCACCCTGAAAGGTCAGAAGGTCTGGAGTATCAGCAACAACAACTGAAATGGCAACAACCATATGCTAGCGAATAACAATGTGCACACCTTTTTTATGATAACACTTCCTACGGGAAATTTAAATATAAAACAAAAAACATAATTGCTAACAGAAGATACACAAGTACTGTGCTAAATACATGACATTAAACATATAGGGCTCGTCTACATTGGCCCCTTTTCCGGAAGGGGCATGTAAATTTCATGAGTCGTAGTAGGGAAATGCGTGGGGGATTTAAATATCCCCCGCGGCATTTAAATAAAAATGTCCGCCGCTTTTTTCCGGCTTTTAAAAAAGCCGGAAAAGAGCGTCTACACTGGCCCCGATCCTCCGGAAAAAGTGCCCTTTTCCGGAGGGTCTTATTCCTATTTCAAAGTATTTTTATTTAAATGCCGCGGGGGATATTTAAATCCCCCGCGCATTTCCCTACTACGACTCATGAAATTTACATGCCCCTTCCGGAAAAGGGGCCAGTGTAGACGTAGCCATCATGTATGGCTATTCACAGTGAGAGACAGAGGGTAGTTCTTGAGCTACCTGTGGCATTGTTCTTTTCTGAAGAGATTAAGTAACCCTTTGATAGTCTTTATTATTTACATTATGATGGCACCCAGTCATGATTGTAGTCTCATTTTATGAGACTACACAGACAAAGTAAAAGAGGGTCCCTTCCCCAAAGAGTTGAACTTCTGTTTTCCTCTTTCCTACACAGTGGTATTTCCTCCATTTCCTTTCCTATTGGTTTTCTTCATTTGTGATGGGGTTCCCTTTTCTCTTTTCTTTAGTTCATTTTTCTATCTTATGCACTTTTCTCTTCCCTCTTGTGATTTTTTTCTTCATTTCCCATGATCTGTATCCCAACCCATGATTGTGCAGATTGCTCACTGCTGCTGCATCTGTTCCACCTCTCGAGCGGAATAGCTTTCCTTTTTACTGTTATAATACTGTATAAAAAAATTAAGAAAGCATTTCACTAGATGGAGCTGAATACCAGCTGTGTAACAGGGGCCAGCACATTGTTCCAGTGGGGAAGGGTCAGCATTCAGGGACTGAGGTTATTCAGGAAATGGGAAACATATTTTTTTCCTTTCTTTGGCCTACCTCTGACAAACTACTGTTCTGCTGCATAACATTTTTATTCTCACTGGAGTATGACATGCTGCAGAGTGGAGCAAATATATATTGCAGACCTTTGTAAAACATTAGATGATTTTCCCTCAGACATAAGTAATAGGTAGGTGGAGGAAGAAGAAGGATTCACTCAAGGGAAACCTTTGCAATAGACCTTGCATCAAATATCACTGGGAATGGTGAAATATAGAGGATTGTGACTGCTTGATTTTTCCCCCTTCATCCTGAAACTAGCCATAATCTATTATTTCATGCTGTATATGACCATGTCATTTGGGCACAATAAGTGTCCACCATGGTGTATGGTGCATTGATTTTTCCTTGTTTGAATGTACCAGTCACTTCAGTCCTAATGTCTGTTTTGAGCACATATGCTGGCCTTTAATTTGCAATTTACATGGATGATAGGGTCCTATTCAAAAACCTGTTCCTGCTGCCTTTGTGGTGTTCACCTCACCTCATGTGGTCATTAGGATGAACAGCATATAATTAGCTGAATCCGTGTAAAGCTCTGCGCTGCATGCAAGTGTTTGTACATCTAGTGTTCTTTAAAAACAAAATAAAAGCACTTTTTAGTTGTTCTCACAAACTGATAGCAAATAAGAAATGTTAGTTTTAAAGCTAGGTGATAATTATGATAGCCTTTTTTACCTGAGTTTAGCTGCTGTCTGCACTATGTCACTCTTTGTGAGTTAAAAATGATAAGATCTTATTTGTGGGCAAACTGCCAAGTAGATTGAAGCCTTCTTAGCTTGTCTTCTTCACTGACACCATATGGATGCAAACTTACTTTCTTGTTGGCTTAAAGATACTTTCAAATATGTGTAAAACAGATAGCTGTATTTGCTTTTTAGCTGTTCTTTCTGCAAACGGTAATTGCTGAGAGCTGCAGTTTGTGAATGCTGACCAACCAGCTGAATTTGTTAAATTATGCACAGATTAAAATATTACATTTAAAAATGTTAATTGTATCTATAGGTTTGTAATAGCTAAATTCCCAAGATAAGGGAAGCTCAGAGGAGCATATGATGCTGAAATAGAATACTGAAACATATTGCAAGGTGTTAAGCAACAAAAGAAATTCTAAAAGACCCTGCAGTAATACAGAAATGATGTTGTTGCATTGATGCAATGCCAGATTTTATTTTCAGCTTTTTAACTTCCACATGAGGTTTTCATCAGATGGAAGCTTTGAACTATCAAGGGAAGTTTTCTTGATCATGCAAACTGGTTCAGCAAAGTAACTCATGAAAGCTGACTTGTGTGGGCACATACATGTACTACTAGAAGGGAGAGAGAAGGTCCAAGGAAAAGAAAACCATAACTTGGGACTTGGAACTGTGGTATATTTCAGAGGTCTGTGCCATTTCCCAACATGCCCTGATTATTTCATTAAAGGAAAATCTTTGGATGTATCCTGCTCATGCTTGGCCTTTAGGCAGAGGCCCTCCTAGTCCATTCATTATATCCCCGAGTTTTTGCCCAGTCAAGAATTTTCTGCCTTCATCATTGCATGCTGAAACATAAGGAAAGATGTCATCTCATTGTAGTTGTTACCCAGAGATTCCTGTTCTCCTGTATCACCGGGGAGGAATATTTAATAAAATGGCAACAACATTGCCTCAACTGAGGGAGCTATTCATCCCATTAGGATTTCAATTCCTGTACAGTGCAGTGGAGGCCTACTGGATTGTGGGATTCTGTGCAGCACAGGGGGCATAGGACAAGATTAGCCATATGAAAAGGCTTCAGTGTTGTACCTTTTAACAACATCGTTTGGTTCTTTGCAATGCTAGCACTTTATTCTAGTCTTTTAAACAAAACACTTTTTATGCTAACATTTATATTGTATTGCTGATTTTTTCCCTTTATCCTGTTAGCCTGTATGTGGGCCATACTAAATAATTCCTAGAAGCAAAGGTTTTCTAAGTTGGGTTGCAGATCTGCCAGGGAAAGCCCTTGGCAGGCCCGCAATGATTTGTTTATGCTAAAGCTCTGCAGCTACGGAACCTCACAATTGCCATTGGCTGCGGTTTGCTGTTTCTAGCCAAGGGGAGCACTGGGATGCTGCTTCCCGTAGCTCTTCTTGGCTAGAAATGGCAAAATGTAGCCTATGGGAGCTGCGAGGCTCCATGACTGTGGACCTTTAGAGTAAACAAAGTGTCACGGGCCTGCCAGGGGCTTACCCTGGCGGGTCCGTGATCTGAGTTTGAAAACTCTTGCTCTACAGTAACAAGGTGTATCATTTATTGGACCAACTTCTGTTCATGAGAGACACAAGCTTTCGAGCTTATACAGAGCGGCTGCTGCTTCTTCTTCAGAGCTCTGTGTAGGTTTGAAATCTTGTTTATGTCACCAATAGAAATTGATCTAATAAAAGTTATTACCTCACCCACCTTGTGTCTCTAATATCCTGGGATCAACATGGCTACAACAACACTGCATAAATAATACCAAGTAGGAATTGGCTTGAAAAATTATTTTTTCTGGAGGTTTATTGCTTTTGGTGGATGAGTTGATAAGTCATTCAAATATAAACTTCTGTTTTCAAATAAAAACTTCTGTTTTTTAAACAACACTGTCTTTTGTTTGATAGGTGTCATATAAGAAAGATCTGGAGGATACACACAGATACACGGAAGTGCTGAACAGACCAGATATAAAGATGGCAACCAAGTTAACAAAGATAATAAGTGATGTATGACTCTTTCAGTAACTCTGTCAGTTTTTAAACTGACAATTTTATTCATCCCATCTGCTATCAAAGTGTAAAGAATGCTAGCTAAAATGTTCCAAGTTAGACATCTACATTTATATTTTGCCCTTTGAGTCTTTCTATATTTTGAGATAGTGCCTAGCATTTGGCTGCTATTGCAATACTATGTACAGGTTGGACCTCCGAAAACCAGGACTCCCTCATCCGGCAACATCCGTGGTCTGACAGGACCACAGATATTCCTGGATCAGGGAGTCCTGGCTGGGAGCCCCAGTGGCAAGAGGGCGGAGCCCAGCAGTACTGGGGATGGGATCTGGGCGAAAGACCTGGTAGCACAACTGGGCCTGCAGCAGCCCCAGTAGCAGGACCGGAGATGCAGCATTCTGGGCTGCTGGGGCTGCAGCAGCATGACAGCCCAGCAAGGAGGGCAGCTAGGGCCAGCAGCAGGAAGGGGAAGCGGGCTGGGTGGTTAATAGCAGGGGACCTCCCTTGGTTCAGCAAATTCCCTTGTTTGGGGCCAGTCAGATCCAACTTTTGTAGTATAGTTTAATTTTTTTATTTAAAAAAAAATTAAACTCTCCAGAAAACTGTAAAGCCAAGATTTTCAAAGTTGACTAGAACTTTTTGTGCCTTGATTTTAAAGTGACCAACTAGATACACTTTAATGGGGCCTGATTTTCAGAGGGTGTGTGCTCAGTACTCTCTAAAAAACAGGCTCCTTTAAGGTGTGACACGTTGAGCACCCTAAATCTGTAGTCTTTTTTGAAAAACTTCACTTCAATTTTGAATAACTTTGAGACTGTGACTGACCGGGCCGGGTCTGGGCACAGCTGAGGGTATCTGCTCAGGGCGAATTGCTCAAATTTGGGGCTCTCTCTAGCCCCCAGACTGGAGACCTTCCCAAATAGGCCACAAACCAGCCCCACCGAGTGCTTCAGCTGCCTGCCTGAAGCCTCACGAGCAAAACCCCTCTGATACTCCAGCCATATCCGTGCCCCAGATGGCCCCGGGCCTCATACACAGGTGAGGGGTCTTAGAACCCAATTTCACCTACCCTGAATAAGTTCTGTCCGGTCCCAAGTAACCAGCCACAGATCCCAGGCCAATTTACTCTCTGGATCTTACCCACAAATCACGCTGAGCCAATCCTTTAGAATCTACAGTCTAAAGGTTTATTACTACAAGAAAGAAAAGCACGAGAGTAAGGTTGTTAAAGTATCATACATTATATGCATTGAATCACCCAGTTCTCGATGCAGGCTTGCAGCAGAGATGTTATAGCTGCTGGCTTAAAAGTCCTTGGTGCACATCCTATGCCAGGATGGATCCACAGTTCTTCCTGGCTCGTGAATCCCTGTGAGGCTGCATCTGGGGTCAGGAGCAGATCTGGAGCCCCTATGGAGTTGGCCACATGGCATATTTATACCTCCTTCCTGGTTCCTTCCAAGCTGGCTAGAGTCACATGGTCAGTGGCCAGGTGTGTCTTTGGCCTCCAGAGATCCATTGTTCCCTGGAGACTTTCTCATTAGCATGTCCATTGGCAAACATTCCTCAACCACATTGGCCCATTACTCAACCACATACAGAGAAACTTCCAGTCTCCATACAGAGTACATATTCATAACTCCACACACAGGCATTATACAGATAAATGAAGAGCATATATAGAACCAGTAGAAAGTAAGCTTTTGTTTGCCACCTCACATGGCCCCCTTTGTACTGACTTTTGGGGCGAACACCCCCCCTCCCATGTGTGCAGCAGTGACCTGGCTGCTCCCCTCAAAATCCAATAACATGACAAAACGTTTTTGCTTTACTCAGTTATTTGGCACTATACCTACTGCCAGGGTTACACTGCCTTCATAGTGTAAAATCTTATGGGTGTAGTTTGAAGTGTCACAAATAATCTTTTGTGGATTCATATGCATTTTCCTTGTCCAGTGCATTTTAGAAAGAAAGTGCAGTGCATCTGCAGGAGTTTGTTCAGCTACAATTATCATGTAACATCAGATCCCTACATAGATACAAAATTTACATCCACGACTGTAGCCGTAAAAATGAACCACGTTGACATTCGTGGAAGTGGATACACGCAGATATAAAGTGGATATATGTAGATTTGCAGGGTTATAAAACCAAAATTTGTATTTGCAACCTCATTCATACGCAGAGAAATGAACTGTGAATATCCACAGATTTGCAGGGCTCTGTGTACCATTCACTATGTACAACTCTCTTAGCTTTAAGGGGATTGCACTGGTATAACCAAGAGTGATATTTGACTCTGTATTTGAAAGGGACTGGCACTCTTTCAGCCCAGTCTTGTTCTAAAACTATTTTCACCCTCTAAACATAATCTTATGTAAACTTTGGAGAAATGCTGATCCACTTTAACTTACTCTGACGTTACTGGGAGCAGTAGGAAATCACTGTTTCTCAGACTTGGGCTTTGTATTTGTTGAAGCTTGAGTCTTGAGTGCAGTGAAATGTATTTTAAGGCAAATAAATTTGTTAGAAGAGATAAAGCCTAAAAAGGCCCTCTTTTCAGAGGTGATTAGAGCATTAGTGAGAGTAGTGTCAGTGCAGGCCACTTAATGATGCTTGTTGTTCAGTTAGCTATAATGCTTACATGTACTTTGATAAAACAGACATAAATACAGTGTAATTGTGATTAGCATTCACTTCTTTTTTTAAAGGCTGAATATAAAAAACAAAGAGGAGAAATGAACAAGGAGACAGCTGTACTTGGAAGACTAGATTTTGAGCATTCTCAGGAAGTTTCTAAACTTTTAAGCCAGGTAAGATTGTGCCAATCTTTTTATTCTGACTTCATTCAGATACCTGTTTTATAGTAACATAATCACATATTTAGTTTTTAAAAGATTATCTGTAATTGTGTGAAAATTGAGGATGTTGAGGGAAAAAAGGATGTTTTCAAAATTTTTTCATGCTGATAAATGTAAGATTTTTAGAAAATAGTAGATACAGGTTTTAGACAAAAAGTACAATGTGGTGTTTGACTCAAATACAAATTGTCTGCTGTGGAATTGGCATTGTGCTATTTTATACAGATTTTCTGGGCTTTCAGAAATATTAACTATAAATTGTGGACAGATTCTGCCATCCTTACTCACCTTGCCTGGGATCTTAATCTATGATTAGTCTCATGAAGCAATAATGACTTTTTGTGTGTGCAACTGATGGCTATTGTGAGTAAAGGATCAGAAAGCAGTCCTCAGTTTTAAAAAGAATTCTTTAGATACTGTTATTAAAATCAAGGAAATAAAAGTATCAAAATTGGAGGAGTTACTTTAGTTCATATTACTTTATTTGATTACTAGACATAAAGCCATGGTGTCCAAATTCTACCTTCTTTTCTCTTTTAGTATTCTTGACTGCTGTGGTTCAATCCCATTTAGAAACAAACATTTTCAACTTCTTTTCACAAATTCTTTAGTGCCCGCTGGCATATCCCTCACTAGTAATTGAATTATTCTGCACTCAGAGCATTTTCTAAAACAAGGGGCAAGTTTTACCTCATATAAGTGAGCATAACTCCCCTTGATTTGACAAGGTGATATCAGTCTCCTCAAGATTTTAAAAGCCATGTGTAGAACAGTACCTTTTAATTTACATTTATATGTGGAAACAGTGTTATGTTTGGTTTTAAAGAGTCCATGATTCTTCTGATAGGATGAAATACTGCCCCCAGATGTCCGTAGTACAGTAAGAAATTACCCTTTTTCTTAAAGGGACCAAATACCTCAAAAGCTATAGTTTTTTGTAAAAAGGATTTTTTCTTTGCTTTGTTGAGATTAACCTTCAAACTCAGAATGGATTTTGTTTTCTAATAAGATTTTTTTTCTTCCATTGTGTAATTTATTAAATACTCATTTCTGTGCTGACTGAGAAGGCTTGTTTAATAGAGCCCTGGTACTTCACTGTAGGTTACCACCCATTCACTCTGTGGAAAGGAACAAGTGTTAAGCTGTTTAGGTAACAGTACTGGGAATCAGAGAGAATGTTGGTTGTGAAGTTAATTATGACATTGAATGATTTTTGAAAATGGGCACTTCCTGTTCTTCCACTTTCTGAGTAAGGACGCTCATAGGAAGGTCTGGGTGGTAGGACAGGTAGGTAGCATACATGAAGACAGTCATTTAGTGGGATGAGTCTCCAGAAGCATATGACCGGTGAGTTTGTCATCAGTTTCACCAATTTTGCTGTCCAGCAGATCTCCAAATTGCAAGAGTTACAAAACAGTGGGACAAAAGCACTTTTATAAATCCAGCAGGGACATGCAAGGGCAGGTTGTATAAACAGGGATACTGCACTTTCCTGCAACAGCTGCATCTGCAGCAGGTTTCAACTTTGAACCCTCAAGCTGTTTTTGATGCAGCCATGTTTAAAACAAAGTGAGAGCAACAGCAAAACTAGAGAAGCATGACTTGTTTTTGTTAATCAAAAGAAATGTGGGATTTTTCACAAAACTGTAATTCCAAAAAAAAAAAAAAAAAAAGGCTGAATTTTGTCTATGAATGAAGACCATACATGACAAATGTGATCTCAAAGTGACTAATTAGAAAAGTTATGAAGCTGTGAAAACAGCATTTTATCTTGGAAGGTATTTCACAACACCTTAACGTAGTGTTCATTATTGGGCCAAGCACTGTGATGTTAATCATCATAGTCATAAAACAGTATGGTCATGTCTATAGTGCAGAGTTTTTGCGCAAAGCATCCAGACTACAAGTGCGTTTCTGTGCAAGTAAATTTACAGTAAGTCAGAAGAAGAGAGGGCTTTTTGCACAAGAGTTATTCCTCTTTCTACGAGGAATAAGCCTTTTTGGGCAAGAGCTCTTGCGCAAAAAGGTGTGTGTGGACAGCAAACAGGGTTTTCTTGAGCAAAAACAACCTATCAAAAGAAACACAGATGCCCTGGTGGCCATTCTGTTAATGGCAATCAGAGCTTTCTTGCGCAAGAGCGCCCATCCAGTGTGGATGTTCTCTTGCGCAAAAGCACATCACTTTTGCGATGCACTTTTGTAGTGTGGACATGCTTTGCACAAGAAGTTTTTGCGGAAGATCTCTTCCTCAAAAAGCTTCTTGTGCAAGAAGCCTGCAATGTAGACATAGCTTATTGGCTATAGCCTAAGCTGGTACTGAATCAGTTTCACTATGCAGCTCACAAATTCAATGAACTTCCATCTCTCTTTTCTTATTCTTAGGATTTTCTCCAGGACAGAGATTGTTCATAGTACTAACCCAGAAGTTCTATGATGTAGACACATGACTACTAGGGACTATGATGGAAGTTAAATTCCACTTGTGATCTTCCTCCACAATGGGTGGAGTTGCCAACACCCTAGGATAGCCCTGAAGTCTCTAGGAATTAAAGATTACTCTTTAATTAAGGTTTATATCATGTATTGAAGCCTCCAGGAATACGCCTGGCAAACCCATACAATGGTGAATCAAAGGTATGCAATGTAGATGTCATTAGCACATATTTAGTGGCCAGTCACTTTGACTAGAGCAGAAGAGCAGCTGAAACATCCTAGCACACATTGGAGCTTGTCCTTATTGAAAATCAGATGAGCCAGTTGAGGAATGCATCCACAGTGTAGAAGATGATGGGAACGTGAAATGTATGCATTTTTATGGTGGAGTGCATATATTCTATTCTATTCTATTCTATTCTATTCTATTCTATTCTATTCTATTCTATTCTATATATCCAGTAGTGCATCAAGCAACATGCTGTTTGTTCTCTCATCTTTTTCCCAAAGGGAGAGGCATAGGGCATGGAGAATCCTGTTGTGGTGATTGTTAAATAAATCTGTTATGTGTTTATACTAGAGAAGGCAAGGTCAAAGTAGATGGACCTTGTTCTTGGAGTGGAAAGTGGTGAGGTTTGTGGTAGTCCCTAGGTCCTGGTAGAGTCCATTCCACAGTCTCGGGCCACCTCTAAGGAAGGTTCTGTCTCTCACACAGGCCAGTTGTATTCTTATTGTTCAGAAGTCCCATTGTGCCCCAGAAGCAATGTTGTCAACCCGTCTTCATCCTAGAGGTTTAAGCAGGCTTTTAGGTACTCTGGGCCTAGGACAGAGAAGGGGCTCAAACTCCTGGTCCACGGGCTGTCCCTGGCCGAAGCAATTGCACAATCCGGCCTGGGAGTCCGAGGGAGTGGAGAGGCCTTGTCTGTTACTGTTCCCCAAGCCCTGCAATCACCCCACCCTGTCCTGCCCATGGTACCTTATCCCCCAAAGATGTAGTTTCAAGGATAACAAGGGGAGCCTGGTGCAGTGCGGCTGCATTGGTCAAGGTGCCCTGCACTCTCCATTGTTCTTCATCTATCAGCTGTTCTCATCCAAGGCCAAGGGTCATTTCAATGGAAGTGGTATGGTTGTATTTGATGAAGGACAGTTGTGTGTGTCAGTTGCATATTACTGGCACTTGAGTTAATGTCCTTCAAGTCATTCAATGGTTGTGTTTATCAGGACCAACGATCCTTAGTCTTCACAAATCATAAGTACTTTTTATTTATCTTTTCCTTTTTGAGCCTTTGGAGTTCACATCTTCAAGCTTCTTAGCAATCAGGAGGGCAAGACTTCCTTCCTCCCCCAACAGAAACAGAGATTCTCATATAGTTCAAAGTACCTCAGGAGCTGAAGTTTTAAGAAAAATATCAAATATTTCAAGACTCATAATGTAGTTGTGAGCGTTGATGGCATGGGTGAAAGTAGGACAGGAAGCAGATGATGTATTTTAGTATGGTAATGCATGTGTAGACAGTGCAATGAAAATAGCCAAGGAGAAAAACGAGTGGTCAGGTGGTGTGGGTGTAAGCAAGGGAAAAAGGAAACAAGGGCATGACAGCTGAACAGAGTGAAGAAGGTAAATGTTTAACTGGCCATCAAGATTGAGACAAATCAAAGTCTTTTAAAAAAGCAATTGTGTGACACTCAACAGCAAAATGCTGGTGTCACTGAATTAGTGAATTTACTCACTGCACTATCTTCCCCCTTCTTATTGTTAATCATCATTAAAAGTAGAAACTTAATAGGACCCTGTGAACAAATGAAGCTTTAGTATCTGTTTTCTGATTATTATAAATGTATAATATAATTTAAAATATTATTTATTTTATAATTATATTCTCAGACCTGATAGCAATGAGGTTATGTTTTTGTCTGGCTATCCCAGAAGAAAGCTAGGAGATACGGGGTATAGTTAGTTAGGCCACAACTTTATTATCAGATGACTGGATCTACATGGCAGATTCAAGCATTCAATGCAGGAAACGCGGAGGTAATTTCGCTATCTACCCAGACACTTCCATAGACCTCCCTTTCCATCCTGATCCCCCAGCCAATCCGCTGCTGGAACCTTATTGTCCCTGCTCAAATGAGGGTCAAGGTGGGCCTTAAAGGGAGGGGGGTTTGAGATGGGCCATACTAGTCATAAGCACCTTGAGCTCCCCACCCCGCACATTCCACTCCTTTAACAAATATCTTCTTTTACCAAGCCATTTACCTGGTCACTGGAAGTCTGCTCACACTTACATAATGAGTTGTGACATCATAGTCTTGACTCCCATTCCCTACTCACCCTAACAAAGCCTCCTCTGAAACCGCTCTACCAGTCTGGTGGCGAGAGAAAAATTCCTTCCTAGCCCTGCAGGAAAGGAATGACTAGCACAGTGCCCATAGCTGGTCCTGACCAAACCTGGTGTTTTGCCATTTCCCAGTGCTGGGAGAGCGAGATGCTGCTCTGCCTAGTCTGGGGGAAAAGGGGCTTTTCTTGCTGAGCTTGCCCTTTATCAGCTCTTTTTCCTTCTGGTCCCTGGAGGATGTTGGCATCGCCATGCTGATTTGCTTTGCTTTAACAACAGTATCCACACCTCTCTATCCCTGCCACCCTTGAAGCAATATGCCCCTTCCCCTGGAAAGCCAGATTGTACCCCTTGAAGCAATATGCCCCTGGAAAGCCAGATTGTGCCCCTCTCCCTACTTAAAGTGCAGTGGGGTCAATCTCCTCAATTCTGTCTAAACTTAGCTTTAAAATAATCCACTAATAAAAAACAGTATTAAATACTCTCCTTATGATAATGTATTGTGTGGATATAAACTGTATTGAATATTAATTTGTATTTTACAGTAGATCAGTTTGATGTCTAATTGTTTTAGGGGAAAAATGAATGGAAGCGCTAACATTTTTTTCTCTTTTTTTCCTTAGCTTAAACTCAGTTAGTAATTGGAGGAACTGACTGTTCCAGACAAGTTAAACATTTCATTTAACTCTGTGCTTACGTTACATTTCATTCAGCATCTAGGTCCTCTAACACATTTTTCATTTCCTTGGTGCATTTTTGTCTGATTGTTAGGAAATGCTTTCGCTTCAAGTGCCTGCTTTTTATGTGGGTATGTTCTGGATCCAAGTGGCTGAATGATTCCGTTTTTGTGGGTTCTTCATAAATCTGAACAGTGGATGATGTCATCCACTTATGAAACTGAACCCTTTCAGTCTGAACAGCTTTGAAAAGCAGACTTGATTTAGGAATGTTTCTGTGGAGCTTCAAAAGACACTCTTCTGTCCAGCTGCAATACTGACTTTTACAGTGTTTCTGCAAGGCTAGTGAGAAAATTGTTTATCTAAGAGTCATTTGATGCCAGTGGGATCTTCTGGGATGTTGTTATGGGAAAGACCTGCTAAATCTGCTTATTCTTGAGCAACAATTAGACTGCCAATCCCACACATTTTCTTTAAATTAATTCTCCCATCTTAAATAAACAAACAAAAGACCTTAATTAAAATGGTAAATAAATATCCATTAATTTAAACCAACATAATTAGTGTCATTTTAAAAAAATTCATAACATTCATAGATAAGCTTCCACCAGGATAGTTAATTTGGACTCCCATATCCTTGCTTACTGTCCTACCAACTTACTGTAGAGCTAAGGATGACAGCCAGATACATTTTTGAAATTATTGACAAAGATGTTTTTGTAATTATTACCTTTTTATTTCAATTTCATTGTATTTTTCCAAGCTACATTTTTTTTCTAAAAGGAAGTTAAATAGTTCTCAAATCCCTGATGACTCTTTAATTTGCTGGTTCTTCTCCCACTCTCTCTTAACTGTGTTTCTAGCCATTCCTTAAAAGGGAGGGGGAAAAAAACGTAACCAGAGAAAGCTGTTATGTGTGTAGCATCCAATAAGATGTTTCCCCTGTGGCTAATCAGAATTATAATACTACTGAGAGTGCTCTTCAGATGCTGTTGGGGTCATCTTATATTACAGCACTCCTTCCTGTCTAAGGAGGAGTACTGCAGAAAAGGATGTAGGGGACCATAGTGGACCCCAAGCTAAATATGAATCGACAGTGTGACACTGTTGCAAACAAGCAAACATCTCTTGGAGATGTATTAGCAGAAGTGCAAAACAGATCAGTGTGGCAATGCTGACTCATCCTCCAGGGACCAAAAGGGAAAAGAGCTGAAAAAGGTCAAACTCAGCAAGAAAAGCCCCTTTTTCCCCAGACCAGGCAGCGCAGCACTCCACTCTCCCAGCATTGGAAGTGGCAAAATATCAAGTTTGATCAGGACTGGCTATAGGCACTGTACTGGGCATTGTGCTAGTCACTCCTTTCCTGCATGGCTTGGAAGGAATTTTTCTCTCGCCACCAGATCGGCCGAGGTGGAGTGTAATAAAGACACAAGAAGTAATTCTTCTGCTCTACTCTGCACTGACTAAAGTCTCAACTGGAGTATTGTATCCAGTTTAGGTGCCACATTTCAGGAAATATGTGGAAAAACTGAAGAAAGCCAAGAGAAGAAGAACAGAAATGATTAAAAGTCTAGAAAGCATGACTTATGAGAGGAGATTAAAAGAAATATTTTAGTGGAGAAGAGAAGAGCAGGGACATAACAGCTTTCAAGTACCTAAAAGGTTGTTACAAGGAGGAGGGAGAAAAGCTATTTTCTTTAACCTGTGATGATAGGACAAGAAACAGTAGTGTTGGACATCAGGAAAATGTTTCTGACTGACAGGGTGGCTAAGCACTGGAATAAATTGTCTAGGGAGGTTGTGGAATCTCCATGATAGGAAATTTTTAAGAGCAGGTTAGCCAAACACATGTCAAAGCTTGTCTAGATGGTGTTTGGTCCTGCCATGAGTGTAGGGGGCTGGACTTGGTGACCTCCTGAGGTTCCTTCTGGTTCTATGATTCTGTATTCTTGGTAACCTCTAATCTCTCCATATTTGTTGTCAACACCTACCCATTAACAGGTAGGTGTGTTGTGAGCAAGACACGAGAAGTCATTCTTCCGCTCTACTCTGTGCTGGTTAGGCCTCAGTTGGAGTATTGTGTCCAGTTCTGGGCACTGAATTTCAAGAAAGATGTAGAGAAATTGGAGAGGGTCCAGAGAAGAGTAACAAGAATGATTAAAGGTCTAGAGAGCATGACCTAATAAGAAAGGCTGAAAGAATTGGGTTTGTTTAGTTTAGAAAAGGGAAAATTGAGGGGGGACATGATAGCCGTTTTCAGGTATCTAAAAGGGTGTCATAAGGAGGAGGGAGAAAACTTGTTCATCTTGGCCTCTGAGGATAGAACAAGAAGAAATGGGCTTAAACAGTAGCAAGGGAGGTTTAGGTTGGACATTAGGAAAAAGTTCCTAACTGTCAGGGTAGTTAAACAGTGGAATAAATTGACAGGGAGATTGTGGAATCTCCATCTCTGGAGATATTTAAGAGCAGGTTAGATAAATGTCTATCAGGGATGGTCTAGACAGCATTTGGTCCTGCCATGAGGACAGGGGACTGGACTCGATGACCTCTTGAGATCTCTTCCAGTCCTAGTATTCTATGATTCTATGAGTATTCTATGATTTTCACTATTATTATGTAACATTTGGGGATTTAGGAATGGAAAATTTGTCTTAATTTAAATTCCTCAGTAGTTTCTCAATTCTCAGTGCCTCCTTTTAGTGTAATATTTCAATATTGAATGTGTTTGCTCTGGTGGCAGGTTAAATACAAAGAGCAATTCAATAAGGACATGAAGAACCACCAGTATAACCCTCTTGGCAGTGCTTCTTTCAAGCAAGCACAGATGGCATCCATGTTGGCGAGTGATGTAAGTGCAGTTGCTCTGTGTTCAGTCTCTCAGCATGCACATTATGTTGACATTAGTGTCCTGTAAACTTCACAGTTTTCTTGTAAACAAATTGTGCATCTTATTTGATTTACCAAAAAGCAACAGCTCACAATATATATCATATCTTCATCTGCCATAGCAGGAAAATTGAATTAGGAGTTTATCATGGAAATCAGTTTGAAAGCTGCTTGAAAGCAGAATTCGGAACTGGGCCTATATTTTATTAGGACACCAGCCAGATCATTCCTCATTATAATAAAGCATTTCTCCTGCTAATACCTACCGGACAGCCATCCTTCCTAACCCTTTCCTGATTGCAACCATCCTTCAGCTTCCACAAAAAATTTGATGAATTTCTGGGTATGCACATGCTCTGCAGGACCAGAAGATGGAACCAAAGTGCAGTATTTCAATATAGGAGAGTGGTTAAGGCAGTGGTCTGCTACCTTTTGAAGTATGATACCTCTTTTTTAATTTAAGTGCAATCCAGACTCTCTCTCAAACCCAAATACCTTTGCCCCACCTTCTTCGTGCCTCTTCTGCAAGGCCCCACCCCTGCTTGCTTCATCCTTCCTCCCTCTCCCATCCTTCCTCCCTTTCATCAGGCAGGGGCAGAGGTTTGGGGCTCAGGCTTTGGTCTTGGGCTAATGGATTTGGAGTGTGAGAAGGGCTCTGAGCTGAGCCTAGAGCAGGGGTTGGGTGCAGGAGGGGCTCCAGGGTAAGAGTCTTTAAGGAAGTTTGGGTAAGAGTCTTTAAGGGAGTCTTTAAGGGAGTGCTCGGGGCTAGGAAAGGGATTTGAGGTGTAAGAGGGACTGGGGTACATGACTGGGACAGGGATTCAGGATGCAGGATCCAGGTGGACACTGCTTACCGCAGGTGGCTCCTGTGTGGTGGTGCAGTGGGGCTAAGGCAGGCTCATACCTGCCCTGGCCCTGCACCACTCTCAAATGCAGCCAGCAAACTGCCTCCCTCCCAAATCCTGTTGTGCCCCACAACTCCATTCTGTGGGGATAGAATACAGGGTGGGAGAGGGAAACAGCTCCAAGGCAAAGGGCAGGAGCTGTGCAGCAGTGGGGGGAGGGGCAACTGAAGTGCCTGCACTTGATAGCCTCTTCGTCAAACCAACCAAGATCACCTGTCAGAGGCACCAAGATCTACCAGTAGATCCCGATCATCTGGTTGGTGACCACTGGGTTAGGGGATTTAATGTGTGTTACTGCCTTTCAGAATCAGATGGGAGAAAGCACATGTGCCCTGCGGTGCTGCAGTGCTGACAGAATGTTTAACAATGCTTTCATGTGGTTAATAGCATAAATGTGGGCTGTTCTGAGCGGCGCTACTATGGTCCTGGATAACTTACGGGCAGATTGCATATGGCCCCATTGTGGCTATGCAAAGAAAAGGAGGTTGCAATCTTACTCCCTCTTCTTGTGGTTTGGGTGCTTGCCAGACACAGGGAATGCTTGTGCAGTGAATGCTTCTTCTTTACCCTGCAAAGGCAGCTGTCTCCTTTGCCCGAGTCAGTGGAATAGGATCCATAAAATGGTTAAAAAAAATCGCCTCTAGCAAACAATGTTATTCTGCTGAAACGTTTAAAATTTAGAACAGGCCTTAGGAAAGAGGATGTTTCATATCATGAGGATCTTAACCAGGGTTTTCTAATGTGTATGCAGGGAGAGTGAAGAAGGGTTGAGTAATTGCATGAAGGATGAATTGGTGTGTGTGCGGGGGGGAGGAAGGGGAGGAGGAGGATATGTGGAAGATTTATGCAGTAAGAAATGAAGGCAGGATTCCAGGGGGACTTTATAGCTTCATTTTCCTGAAGGGGAAACTCAGTTTTCGAAAGTTTGTGAAACACGGCTGTCAGCTATTGGGAATGTATATGATTTGCCATTTCACTGAGTTATTAGGTTCTCTCTTATCTAAAGCACCATTGATTCTTGTTACTAAAAGCAAACTGTATTAAATAAAAATACACAACAAAATACTGTCTGATTGTGTGTTAGCCTACTCTATGTAGAATTTTATATTTTTTGCATACAAGCAGTTGATGTAAATATAATCGGATTAGTAGGAGAAAAGTAAGAATTACCAATGTTTTCTTTTTAATTAACTTCACTATAACAAACAATATAAAAATAAGGATAAATTGTCCAACATTGTAGAACAATATTTTTAAAAGATAGGAGTCATATACATCACAAATACCTTCTTACTTATTTATCTGCCATAGTCTATTCTCTTTTGAAACGTCTCACAAAATCTGAATTAATTAACTTTATGCTTTTGAAATGTATAAGTAGTTACCAAAATATTTGCTCACTAGTGGAAAGGAAGCACTTGCTTTATATTAATGTTTTCCAAATAGTAGTTAATGAGCACCACCTAGTGGCAATTGTACATATATCATACAAACACTTTAATAAGATTTTTATCATGTACAGCATAAATAGAACATGCTGTACATTTTATTTGTCCTCACCTTTCTATACTCTATATTCTATTTTCAGGTGAAATACAAAAAAGATATGGAAAGTCTACACAGTCCAGCTTCAGACCTACCAAACATCCTATATTTAGAGCATGCTTTAAATGCCAGCAAAATGCATAGTAATGTAAGTTGGCTTTTTAAATTATTATATTTTAATATACATCTAAAAGGCAAATGTACCCGTTTATTTAATTTATTATAGAATGTATCATACTTATGACATTGTCTTCCTGTTTGTTAATTAGTTTTGGTCACAAAATGTTTCTCATATATGTAGTTTTGAAGATGTGGTTCCTTTTGCTTTTTATATTTTACTCTGAATAGGCCTTTAATTCTGCTTCTGGCACAAAATAATGCAGCTATCTAGTTTGAATATGATTCTTCACATTACTCTTCTGTGAACTAAAACTCTCCCTCAATTGCTCCTTTTCTAAGTGCTCCTTTCTTTATCCTCTTTTTTTCATCAATCTTTTTCTCCCTGAGGCATCCCCTTTCTGAAATTAACATTGGCTATCACTTTTGTATTCCTCATACTCATGTCTATAGACTGCCAGGATTTATGCCCTTCTTCACTTTCTCCTTACCAAATTATTCATTCTTGTTTGGCCTAACTGTACTTTTTTTTTAATTTAGTGCATTTAAGATGGATATTTTGTACTAGCTGGTTAAAAGGGCACCATCAGTCTGAACTTGGGAGCTTCCTTCTCCTAGATATTCTGCGTAGCTTTATATTTCCTACTGTCTATATAACTGCCTACACTCACCTATAAAATGTTTTCACCTGACATGATTTTTACCATTCCTTTACCAAACAGTGGTTCATTTTTACATCTTTTTTTACAACTAGATCTCCCTAAAAGTTAACTCTCTGGAATATGCTTTGTCCAAAAGCTGATGGTTTATCTTGGTTGTGATCAGAAGCAAAGAGCACTTCATATCCAGCTCCTGAGGTGTTCACTAGCTATTTGTCAAGTACAAAATATCTGAGGTTATATTTATACTACTGTACACTCCTTACAGTGGTATGTACAGTACATACACGACATGCCTCCCTACTATGGGTATAAATTGTTGTGTGTACATGGTTAGGCATTGCTTTAGCAAGTAGAACAAAGACATACCTGAGACTGTGTTCGATACCTGACTCTCTAGCGTGTCCCCTATCTAAGTAGCTATTTTTAGTGTAATCTCCCGCAGCCTCCTTGCTGCCAGAGTCTTTCTCCAACACAGGGAAAGACTCCAACAGTGGGGAAAGGCTCTGGCAGCTGCGTACTGCTGGTGGCTTTTCCTGCAGCAGGAAGCTGCTGGAACATGTCTATGGCAACAGCTAAAGACTCTGGCAGTGGGGAGGCTCCACTGCCAGTCTTTCCTCACTGCCTTTTTCCTGCCAGAGCCTTTCATTGGTTAATGGAGCATGCACCCTACATACTGCCATCCGTGTTGTGCAATGTAGACATACTGTTAGTCTTTGAAGAACTTCAGTGTCTTGATCTTTCCCTGACTCCACCTCTGTAACTTATTTTTGATTTATTCTTCAGCCTTTTCTTGTGTTTTTCAAATACCATCTTTTTGTTGTAGTTGTTGTTGTTCCTTGTTTCTCCATATGAACTGCAGATCTTTCTTCCAGTCTGCTTCACTATCTAAAATAGCCTTTCTTCCCCTAATGGTCTCAAGATCCATTTTCTTCTATCTTACCTACAGTATGACACATATATCACTGCTAAAATACTGAACTGTTCAATCTCCACATGGCCCATATTTCTTCCCTGAAATGTGTATTTCTGTTCATCCTTATATTGATGTAGCCACACCTGCCACCCGTGGGATATAGTGTAACATACAGGGTGTATTGTACTTCATGTTTTAAGTTGGGTTTTCTGCAAATATTATTTGCATGAACTACACCACAAAAACTTACTTGCAGTATTTTATTGCAAAGATGCTAGTCAAGCTGGTGTTTTGTGAGGATAAGTTATAACATTAGAGGGAAATCCAGAAATGTGCATATGTGCACAAATATACTGTTACAGGTTTTGCGAGATACATATCACTACATATCTGATTTCATATGAGAAATGAGAACAAAAGGTCAGGTTCTGCCTTCAGTCCCTAGATATTTGTTGTGTATCATTTGAAATCTACATTTAAATTTTCTCACACAGCCAATCTGAAATTTAGCAGCTTTTATATTAGCTTAATTTGTTCTAATTGTAAAAGGCTTTGAGGTTTCTAACTGATATTGAATACACAGAATTTAGATTACACAGCTTTGTTTTCATTCAGCATTTTGGGATGAGTGAAATATTTATGTTTATTTTAAAAATACAAATTCAAATGTATAAAGTGCTGTGTACATATTTTGAAGGGATAAAATTTACCAACAGCAAAGGGTGCTCTTGCATTATGTACTTAATAATTTATTTTATTTTATTTGTACCTATACCCTGTAGCATCAAAGAACAGATAACATGGACAAAGTAATAGACATAAGATTTCCTATTGTTAATAATGCAGTATAATGTCAAATTAACACAGTTATTTAAAACTGGTTGGACAAATACAGGATTTGTATTCGTTCAGGAGACCAGTTCTGTGTTTGAAATTTCGTATAGTAATAATGATTTATTCCCTTTCAATTGCTTTTCTAATTTTTTATTTGTTACTTGACGAAAATACTTAAAATACAGTTTCTGCAGGTATTTTTTTGTTACCGTAAGAGAATGTGTAAGTGTTGTGTGACATTTATAATTATTTCCACTAGGAGGCAAATGGACACCATGAAATATGCTTTCTTGCCTTTGAGCCTAAATAATATTCTATATTTTTCACAAGCAAAAATCTTTAATATTTATACAAATATGACATGTTTAAAAAAAAATCTTTTCTGAACTTTGTTTTTTGCCTTTGCTTTCATTCCACCATACTTTATATCTTGTCCACAAATTGGGCTTTTTTAAATTGTTTAAGGTTCAGTATTAGAGCTTCAGTCTTGTTGCGATTAAAGACACTTTCTTAGATTGCTTCTTTTATGCTTACTTAAGTTGCTCTTTAAATAGAAATCAGTCGATTTTATATATAAAAATATTCTTTGCTATGTTTCAGTATGAATATAAGAAGCTGTTTGAGAAAAGCAAGGGGCACTATCATTTTGCCTTGGATACAACTGAACAGATGCATCACAAAGAAAATGCTCTGCTCCAAAGTCAGGTATACATAAATTGTAAATAAACCTTGTCAAGTGACAAAAGCAGCTTTCTTACTGTTACTAAATCATTCACAAATCCCATGACAAACTGCAATGATGTGAGAGGCATATAAAGTGACTCGGGCTGACGTGGAAACAGCCCACTGCCTACATGTTGAATGCTGCAGGGGTGTGGCCTAACACCATATAATGAGAGTGAACAGGGTTTGTAAAAAATTCTTAAATTCAGACACTGTAAACAAATGATAAAACACTGTTAAAAAGATCATGAAATTAAAATATCACCCTCTACGAAAGTAACATTTGGATCCTTAATTCTGAAATCTGCAGTGTCTGATTCTGTAATATTTTCCATATCTTTCTCTGATTTAGGATGAATAGTATAAATGCATATAGCCATACATGAACCTTGTTGATAAAATGAGATATAATTGGAAAGAATGAATGAACTCACAAGGCTCAAAGCATTGGGATCCCAAGCCAAAAGATGTCTGCTTCCTTGAGGCATGAATTATCTAAAGGCATATTACAATGTCCATCACTATTTTTATAACAGATTTTAGGGCCAAATTCAGATGGCCTATACTGCCAACGCATATATTTGAGGGTGGACATGGAACAGAATGTAGGACCAATAGCAGGTCTCTCTGAAGCAAGGGGTTAACTCTGGCTTCCTTCCCTTACCTTGTGTGCAGGTTTCAGGAGAGGATTTTTAAGGACATTAGCTGAGGAGCCACAGAAGGAAGTGTCTGTAGGACATCAGGTTCTAAAGATCTGATTTGACCCCAGGCTTTCATGAGATTTTTGGTTACACTTATTTATGCTTATGGCAGTTTGTTTTGATTTATGGTTTTAAATATGCTCACAAATTATTCTTGCTGAGGAAACGAGATACAGTTCATGTCCCTCATTGTTGGTGTTCTCTAATTTCACTAGTCCTGAGCACTGGAGCATTATGCCAAGGCCATATGTTACTTTAGAAACCGTCCCTAGTTTGGCTACGCCACTCCGCCACAGAAAACTTGGCAAAAACATCCAAGTTAATACCTCTGAAAGGGGGGTTGGCTAAGACAGAATTTTCTTACTCCATCCACATCAAACAGTCATCACATTTGTCATCTATTATAGTTATGGAGAATATTTATTTATTCTGTTTTCTCAGGTGAAGTACAAAGAGGATTATGAAAAATCAAAAGGCAAATCAATGCTGGAGTTCATGGATACACCAATGTATCAAGTTTCAAAAGAAGTTCAAAAGATTCAAAGTGAGGTTGGTGGAATATATGACTGATTTGGCATAATAGGTCATAAGAAGTCAGAAGGGATCAAAACCTGAACTGTGAATTGTGACCTCTTTAAACTGTGGGGACTTTTGGATTCTAATCTGCAGATACAAATCCATGCCTACAATTTAGGTTTCAAGTTCATTACACATGTGGAAGAGACCTATTTTCTGGTTTCAGTTTAGACTGAAACAAAAACTTACCGCAACATCTTGTAGGAGTGTGATGTCATTGAACTTTGTTTGGTCTTTGAAATCCAAACCCTGAACCTAATCCAACTTCTGAACATCACCTCTCCAGCCTATATTTAATTATATCCAGTGCTGATGCAATTCTTGTAACAGCCTTAAAATGTAGAAATAGTAAGAGTAAAACTGGACAAAGCCTATACTAGGCCAGTGGGACTCTAGGTCAGTTTACTTTTTTTCTCTCCTTCCTGTCTGAAACAGAAGCGTGGGTCTTTCATCTTTTTCCTTTCTACTCCTCGCCTAGCCAACCACTTGATTTAATTTCCCTCCTTCTTTGTTCTGTATTGTAGTGAGTGTGTGGTTTGCCTGTCAGTATATAAAGCGTGGGTGGGAATACTAATGGTCTGTGCTCATACTTGAAAAATATCTGATGAAAGGTGGGCAGGGTAGGTCTGTTTCTGGTTTTAAATTCCAGGATGGGTAAGGCTGATAATTGGACTTTAAATTCCAATTTCCTGGCTTTCCTGTTTTATGCAGTTTAAGAAAACCCACTGTCTTTAACATTATTGTCCCATGTGTATCTTCTCTGCTGTGTCCTACCTGCTTCCAAAACTCTGCCCTACAGTTTATCCAAAATGCTGTTTAAAACTCTCTTTCCCCTTATAGCTCTGGTCACTAGCTTTTATACCCTCTTCTGCATCAAGGCCCTGGTACTTGCTCTCATGTTTAAGATTCCTGCACAGTTTCAGTCTTATCTATCTTTCTGGTTTCACTTGCTCCAACTTCCCTCCTGTCTGGACACCTTTTCATTGGTGGCATTCGCTCACATTTTTCTTCATGCTTCTTCTGTCCTGTCCTGGTAACTCTCTCCTGTTCCCTCTTCATCAGTCAAAACCTCCTTGACACAGTTCAGTTCCTTTTCAAAGTACATTTCTTCTAAGAGGCAATTTGGTGCTGATCCATCTAATGTATTTGTTTGTTTGTTTGTTGTTTTAAAATCTCTGATCCTAATAGTTCACTTAGCTTGACCAGAACTTATACAGTATTTAATTTATATTTGAATTTTCAATTAGTGTCTAATTTAGAATCTACTTTCAGTAGTATGTCAGTATATGCCTGTGTATGTATGGCATGCATCAGTAATTGTTGCTCTGTTTCAACAGAAAGTGTATCGCAAAGATTTTGAAGAACAGCTTAAGGGAAAAGCATCACTGGATTTAGACAAGACCCCAGAATTCTTGCATGTGCAACATGTCACCAATCTTTTGAAAGGGGTAAATCAGGAGGGATTTTTTTGTTTCTTTGTTATGCTGTCTATTTGAAATAAACAGACTAGCTACATGCTATTGAGTCATGAACAATTTATGTTAATAGAAATCCAGAACCACTGTGCATCATGGAATTATTAGAACTGCCACCTGCCAACATACTTTAATAATGTATTCCCCATTATTTTACATCTGACCATTTCAGATTATTGCTATATGTAATTTTTGAGATGGTGCTCTCAACAGTATCAATACTTTGTAAAGAATCCTGTATGTATGTATAAAAATTCTAGCATACCTGAGCCAAGAAACTGAGTATTAAATATAAGCAATGTTTGAATGAGCTCTTTCCTGATGTCTAGTGATAAATGAGGAAGGGGGTGACTAGAGAGGTGGACCCTGTTTGCATGAGCAGGCCCTTTCTGCCTAAGTGCACAGCAGATGGGGTTGCTTTGCCAAAATGATAAATTCTGGCTGGTTACAAATCACTCTAGTGTTTGAATGCAGACATAATAAAATGTTGTTACAATAATTGTACAAGTAAAAGGCAGAAGGCCTGTGCTTAGTGTGCTTTAAACCGAACTTCACTTGCTTAGCAGGAGTTAGGATGCCATATACCAGTGTTTCTCAACCAATAGTACAACTACCCTTAGGGTACTCAAGAGAAATCTGAGGAGTACATCAACTGAAATTTGGAGAAAACTGAATTTTTGTTTTAAGTTTTACAGCGTTTTATTATTTTTGCACTTTTTACACCCGAAAATTTCATCGCCCACCTGGCTACGATTAAGTTGTTTAAACAAATGTGTTGCAATGCTAGAAAAAAAATTGTGTGTGTGAAAACTGTAGGTACTGGGGGTACTTATAATTTTTTTTAAAGGGGTACTTTATAAAAAAAAAAGGTTGAGAAACACTGCCATGTACCATTGAGGATAGGAGTGGGTGAGAACAGGAGTTTCTACCTGGTGGTGTAGACTTTGCGTAAGGAGTCCTAGACACCATTTGCCTTGCCTCTCTCTATCATTTAAAGGCAGACTCAACTGAGAACCCTTGTTCCTGGTTGGTGATTCCTGAAGCAGATATCAATGCTGAGCAGATCTAGGGGCTACACTTTGAATGCTGCGTGTGGGCAATGTTGCAACAAAAGACAGCTCAGAAACTGCACTGGCAGTGGGGTTTACCACTATCTGCTGAAATCACAAGTTGCATTTTATTGTAAACAGACTCAGTACTTGTGAGAGGGACAGTATTACCTCTGAGGTGCCCAGGGTGATGTTTAATTTACTCAGATGGGGGCACAAGCCAGTTCTATTTCATACTGTTAAGAGATGCTACATAAAAATCTCTGAGATAGGATTTTGGAAATGGCTGACTATACTATTCTCAGAATATTTGCATAGGTGACAGGCTGGCAGAATTCCCTTTTGAATAATGGCTTTAATCAGGGTTGGGCAGTAAAAAAGCAGCAGCCCACAAGGGCTAGTTCCTAGTGGGCCATCATTACTATGTTTATCTGCACTTCTGCAGCTATAGGACGAATGCAGCGCTCAGCCGGGGATTGCCGTTTGTGGCCAATGGGATCAGTGGGAAGCAGAGTCCCAGTCTACGCTGCTTCCCACTGCTCCCACAATTAGTCAATAAGGGCGCCTCCTGGGCTGTTGCTACACTTCAAAGGAGAAAGTGCTGCGGGGAACATGGGGCCAGCAGGACAGTCCCCTGCCGTCCCCGTGCTCCCCACGGCATTTCAAAGCAGCAGCGCCGCATGGAGCCCTTTGTCAGGTGGGGACTCTGAATCCCTAGCTGACTCCAGGCTCCATGTTGCAGTGCCCCTTTGAAACACCATGAGGAGCCCAGCGTCAGGCTTCATGTGGCATTTCAAAGTGGCAGCACCACATGGAACCTGGGGTCAGCGGGGGAGTCCCTAACTGACCCTGGGCTCCATGTGGTGCTGCCAATTTGAAAAGCTGCATGCAGTTCGAAGCCAGCTGGAAACTCCCAGCCAGCCACGGGCTGTTTTCAGAGTGGCAGCATTGCATGGAGCCTGGCGCTGCTGCTTTGAATTACCCCCTTCCCTCCCCCTCCCCCGTTGCCTCTTTTTGATAGAGGCAGCAAGGGGAGAGGAAGTGACTAGTCGTTCACATCCCTACTTGTCATTAAGAATTAACATTTTTAATGTTTATTTAAAGCAGAATTGAAAATGCGAAGTTAAAAATATTTTTTAACCCTTTTATTTTTAAATAAATGAATAAGTGCATCCCAGCTTTTCTATGGAAAAAAAAATAAGGTCCTATTGACCTACAAAGTTTCTTAAGAAATCCTGATCTAAGCTGGTATGATGTCATCAGATAATATTGCTTTACAATTCATCCTGTGGTAAAATGATTTCCTCCCAACAGGTCAAATTCTATTTGAGCATGGTTCAAGATAGTTTCCTTTGGCACTTAAGACATTCTCTTATTTATTATGTCAGCCTATTCCCCAAGGAAATGTCAGTTTGCATTTTTCCTTAATGGAGTCCTTTAAATGATTTCCTATCCCTCACCTCTTTAACTTTCCCCTCCCCATCTAAGAAACAATCCTATGTTTGTCAAAGAGAAGGAGAATATGAGAATTAAATCAACATTTATACACAAATTTAGACAATTGAGTTTCAGATAATGTTATCCCCAAGTTATCTAATATCTATTCCAAAAAACCTAAGTCAGATAAGCCAAATTATTAATATTTCTTTGCCATGATGTTCTTTCAAGTATGTATAGCAAGTTGTTCTGTAAAGATTCATATTATTATTTAAGGAAACACCATGGTTTAGTCAAGTAAGAGAAATCAAAGTTATTTAATTTCTTAAATAGGTAATAAGTTCTTCATTAATAACATAATACTTTGTTACATAAAAAGGCAATAAAACAATGTCTGTTCAGTTACAGTCTGTTTTGTTGGTGTCCCCTTGAAGAGAGCACTCAGACAGATTACATCTGTTGTTACAATGAGACCCACTTCCTGTAAAATCACAACTTCTTTGGGAGAGAGAGAGAATTTAATTACTCTCCATATTAATGGGAGGATCTTCTTGATTAGGGTAGATGATCCTGACAATTTACTAATGTTAAAAGAAAGCTTCTTTGATAATGTGTGTGTCCTTTTTTGTTTGCCTTAAATGAAAGACTTATAAAAGGACAAAGGGTTTTCCTAAATTATATGAAATTCAGTGAATAAATGAAAGCTTTAATTCATTTATTCAAGAAGCCAATTGAAAAATATTTTCTTAAAATCTCAGTATGTCTTTAAACTCACTCACCATTTTTAAAAGGGAGTTCAGAGAAAGTAATTAAAAGCCTTACATTTGGATTAAAGCATCTCTTTGCTGTACTATCCTCAGTTCACATTTGCCATCCTCTCCTGAGTTCCTGGATGAGCAGCCAGCAGGCCACAGCAGCCTCCTGTGTGCTTTACATTTTACATAGAACACTTAGATGCAGTAGTGATAGTTCCTAAATGCTGATAGATACTATCTCAGTACAATGTCTGAGGAAGATTGAAGTCAGATGGTGGGAGTACTGTGGAACATAATTTATCAAATAGGCAGGTTACCAGCTCTTACTATAGTTATTTAGGACATCTATCCTAATAGTAATGCCATTAGGAGAAGGGGGCTGAAAGTATAGCTTTCTAGCTACCAACCTATAAAGCTGCCATCCACAGGAAAGCCCACAAAGCAAAGGGTATTACAATAAATACATATGAAGATCTGCAATTCAAGTCCCCTAAACTGATGAAATAGTACTGGATAGAGGGGTTGGGGTGGGTGGGAATGTTTTTGAAGAGCACCGCAGCAAACTGTAAGGCTAAATTTAAAACCTTTTCACTTTTGGTGCACCCTACCTTTTGATTTGATAATTTCCAATTCTGTTTTAACTATGATAAATGTACTTCAGCTAATTCATATTTCATAGAGAATTTCAAAGAAACCCTTGGAATACTTATTAAGAAGAATATCTTTTCAAGATCTTGCACACAACTTAAAGTGAAGATTTTTTTTTAAATCCTTAGAAAGAGTATAGAAAAGATTTGGAAGAAGGGATGAAAGGAAAAGGACTGACAGTGTTTGAAGATACACCGGATTTGATTAGAGTGAAAAATGCAGCACAGATACTAAATGAGGTATGTTTTGCTAGAGAAGATTGTTAATATAGTAGAAAGTTCATTCTTTACAATGCATCCTTCAGAAAATAGTCTTAAGTTTTTGCATAATTGAAATGGAAATACTGTATGTTTTAAAACTGGTACAACCTATATTTTGCAGAAAGAATATAGAAAAGATCTGGAAAATGAAATAAAGGGGAAAGGAATGACACTAGTTCCAGACATTCCTGACATCCAGAGAGCAAAAAGAGCATCTGAAATTGCTAGTGAGGTCAGTGGATGAAGCATTTTAAAATACTGTGTTTTTTTACTCAGTTTATGGATTGTTTCAGTTAGTGAAAACAGTATTAATTTTACTTTCTGCTCTAAGTAAAAATAAAGCTGAATATAGTTTAATTAGTTTTTAAAGAAACATTTGCTGAAGATTTTCAAAAAATCTTGTATTTTATTTTTTGGAAATGGATATTGGTACATACTGGCAAACATCTTGCTACTTACATTTATGTGTTTGTGAAAGCTATTTCCCAAATGCAAAGCTGTTGCTGAAGGACTATTTTTGCTTGTACTGTGACCTTGAAATTTATTCTCTACTCAAGGGATGGGCACAGGGGTCTGCTTCCACAGAAAAGGTTTTGGGATCTGGGCCTCAGGGGTGGCCCAAGTTCATATGTCAGTTCCCTAATACAAAATCCTGGGATTAACATCAGATCATGTAAATTTAAATCCACTCAAAGTCCTGCTTCTTCAGTGGCCTTCTGGGAAATGGCACATGTATTGTGACCAGAGTGACTGTTGGTGCATAGGGCCTGCCCTGCTTGCTTCAAGTTAACGAGGATACATCTAGCATGCAGTCTGTTCTTTTCTCTGTCTTTTTAAAAAGGGGAAGCCAGGCAAAAACATCTCCCAGTCCATCCTCCACAGGAGAGGAAAAGCAATCTGTCCACTTTTCACAGGTTATATTTCATTAGTAAGTTACAACTTTCTTGGTACTAGGACTCACTGAAAACACCTTCATTAGATTTGTACCATAGATCTTTCAGAAATAAAATATATTCTTAAAGGCAGATTTATGCTTGTATTGGGCAGACAACGCATGTAGCTTGTCACATTATATTTCACACTTTTAAAAAAATTCTTTGGAAGACAGTCACTGCTACTTGTGTGGCCATATTTTCAGGCAATATTTTGGTAGTTGCAGTTTTGCAAATGTAGTGGAATAGCTCCCAAAGCTTTACTCCTACTTCGGTTTCCTGTCAGTTCATTTCAGGGTTAAGGTTGTGCTTAAAAAATGGAGAGCGAGTTTAAAAATCTGGACTATAATTATGTTTGAAATTATATCTTCACAGAAGGAATACAAGAAAGACCTGGAGACTGAAATTAAAGGAAGAGGCATGCAAGTTGGCACAGATACTCCTGAGATGCAGTGGGCCACAAAAGTTTCTGACTTTGTAAGCCAGGTTAGTACGGTATTTAGTGAAAGCTTTTAATTCAACAATAAGCTATTTTGATTAAGAATCAGCACATCAATAAATCAAATGTGTTAAGGGTTCACAAAATTCATGGTCATGAGCTGGTTAAAGTTTGCTATTGCACATTCCATTTCCTGGGAAAAAATAATATCAGCACCATGTTTAGGAGCTGGAGCTGCTATCTTGACTAGCTTTTGGGACTTAAATAGGATGCTGCTTGTTTGGCTTGGACTAGATGATAAAAGGATGCAGAGATAGGGAAAATGCTCAAGGCCTTGATGTTGCACTGTCAGAGGAAGTGATTCATATCAATGCAAGCCTCCAGTAAGGACTGTGAAATGGAAAAGAGAGATTGAGATTAAAGGCTGCATGAAATTTTAGATAACTGTTTTCTTAAAAGAATGTTTTAAACTGGCAACAAGTAGAGTATAGATACAGTAGTAGGTCCAAGCCACAAAGCTTATGTTATTAATAGAAAAGCCATTTAGTGTTATAAGGATGCTATTCAGTGAAGGTGCACAGATGAAAGCATGATTCAATTTTATTTTACACAGAAAGAATATAAGAAAGATCTAGAAACTGAAATCAAAGGGAAGGGGATGCGAGTGGGCACAGATACCCCTGAGATACGACGAGCCAAGAAAGCTTCTAAAATTGCAAGCCAGGTAGGTACAGAATGAAACATGTACAATATATTTAAAGTAAAATACAACAAGACTTTTAAATATATGTAACTTTAGTGCACTCATAGCCAAGATGGAGTCTGCTCTGCAGGCAACTCTGGCCAAGAGAAGACACATGCAGGTTCAGCACCAGCTCCAACAGCTCACCCCCAGAGTGGAGACACACACACTGGGAGAATACAGTGTATATAAGGAAAGGAAATATTTATTTACAGAGGGATGAGAGGAGAAAAATGGGTAGAAATACTGGGAAAAGGGTAAAATAGGGTTGTATTCAACACAAGACTCCCACAGGACCAGTGGTACCACACTGTGAAAGGACAGACACAGAACAGTGTGTCTGCACAGAGTTCAGAAGTCCTGGGCAAAGTTCCAATCCAGTGGTGAGTTTTGGGTGCTCCTGGGAGTCGTTGTTGCCAGTAAACGTTCCCCAACAAACCTTTCCGATGCCCTCTTCTTCCATTCTGCAAACGCACACAGAGTGACAACCTTTCCTCTTTACTAGCTAACAGCCTGTCTCCTTATTTCCAATGTAAAGTCACAAGCCCCAATACTCATGGCCCCATACAGTATTGAGCAGCAGGGATACTGGGTCTAGCTACAGTTTGCTTCTCTCTGGTAATTCTTTTCTGGCACAGTGCTCTTCCTGGCTTCTGTCCTGGATTTCCCCAGTCAATGCTTTCTGTCCCTTTCAGGCTGATTTTTGGTTCCTTCACCATTTGAAGGCCTGCTTGCTGCATCCCTTATGTAGTGCTCCATATACACACTGTCACTCTCCTATCTCTCCTAACCTATCCCCACCTCTCTTCCTCTTTCTGGAGCAATCAGCACTTCCCCCTCAAGACAAAGATTTAAAGGGGCCATATTTTTTACACCCCAAAGAGATGTTGATAATATATATAATGTTGAAAACTGCCTGAAAATAAGCATAGCTTCCAAAACAAAAAACAAAACCCTAGATTGCAGCCCTTTTTTAGGGGTTTTATTTTGAACCCCCCAAAAACTAGCTACAGCCCATTGTTAGGAATCCAATGAGAGTTACAAGAATAGCGTGGAAGATGGCACACAAACTACAGGAGCTACATTAGCTACAATAAAGGTTAATCCTGAGATCTATAATAATCTTATTTGTAGAAAGAATATAAGAAAGATCTGGAGACTGAAATTAAAGGGAAGGGGATGCAAGTGGGCACAGATACTCCTGAGATACAACGGGCCAAAAGAGCTTCTGAAATTGCAAGCCAGGTGAGTACAGAATGAAGGTTTATTATTGCCATGTCTCATAAAAGTGTGCTGGAGGCACACATTATTCATTGTATTATCACATTACCTCTTTCTAATAAGAGGAATCCATATTTATATATTAAATATACTTACATGTCAAACTAAAGTTTTAGGGCCTGATTTTCATTTACACTAAGGCTACGTCTACACTGGCCCCTTTTCCGGAAGGGGCATGTAAATTTCATGAGTCGTAGTAGGGAAATGCGCGGGGGATTTAAATATCCCCCGCGGCATTTAAATAAAAATGTCCGCCGCTTTTTTCCGGCTTTTAAGCTCATTGCTTCTTGTCCTATCTTCAGAGGTTAAGAAGAATATTTTTTTCTCCTTCCTCCTTGTAACACCCTGTTAGGTACATGAAAGCTGTTATCAGTCTACTCTTTTCCAAACTAAACAAACCTAGTTCTTTCAGGGTACGTCTACACTACAGCGCTAGTTTGAACTAACTTAGTTCGAATTAGTTAATTCGAACTAAGCTAATTCGAACTAACGCGTCTAGAACTAAAAACTAGTTCGAATTAGCGTTTTGCTAATTCGAACTAGCAAGTCCACATTGAGTGGACTCTGAACAGGGCTTAAGGATGGCCGGAAGCAGTGCCGGCAGGGCATAAAAGGAGGACTTAGAGCATGGAGATGCTGTCTCAGGCTAGCCGAGGGCTGCGCTTAAAGGGTCCCGACCCCCACCCCGGACACACAGTTCTAAGGGGTGCCCCGCTTGCAAAGAAGTTCTGGCTTGGAGTGCCCTGAGTGCCCACACTGGGCACATCACACCACTCGGCCATCAGCCCGGCTGCACTTGCCGCAGGCTGCCATCTGGGGAGAGGGAGTAATTGGGGGGCTGCAGGAGAGCTTCCACCCCCAGAAGCCCGCAGAGCCAGCCCAGTCCTCCCCATCGGGGGCTCGTACCCCATTCCTCCCTCACCTCCTTCCACTTACCCTTCCCTAGCCCCCCTTCTTATTGATGTACAAAATAAAGATAACGTTTCTTCCAACATTGACTCTGTCTTTATTGAAAAAAACTGGGGGAGACTGGGAAAAGGAGGTGGGAGAGGGGAAGAGAAAGGCTGGGAGAGGGGAGGGCAACTAACATGATCAGGGGTTGGGAACAGGTCCCAGATGAAGAAAGGCTACAGAGACTGGGACTGTTCAGCTTAGAAAAGAGGAGACGGAGGGGGGACAGGATAGAGGTCTCTAAAAGCAGGGGTTGGGTGGAGAGGGTGCATTCAGAAAAGTTCTTCCTGAGTTCCCATAAAGAAGGACTAGAGGACACCAAAGGAAAGGAATGGGTAGCAGGCTTGAAACTAGTAAGAGAAAGTTGTTCTTGACAAAGCAAATAGTTAACCTGTGGAACTCCTTGCTGCAGGAGGCTGTGAAGGCTACAACTAGAACAGAGTTTAAAGGGAAGTGAGATCAAGTCATGGAGGTTGGGTCCATGGAGTCCTATTAGCCAGAGGGTAGGAGTGGTGTCCCTGCCCAAAGTTTGTGGAAGGCTGGAGAGGGATGGCACGAGACAAATGGCTTGGTCATTGTCTTCGGTCCATCCCCTCCAGGGTCCCTAGGGTTGGCCGCTGTTGGCAGACAGGCTACTGGGCTAGATGGACCTTTGGTCTGACCCAGTACGGCCATTGTAAGCTCAGGGCTCAGGGTCGGGGGTCTCAGTGGACCCCCTTGATTTTCATGCACACCTGGTCCTGGGTGGCCAGGCTGGCAGCCCTCCTGCCCTAGAGGCTGGGTGCTGGCAGGCTTGCACCTGGCACGGGCACCGTAGCCAGCCCGTGCCCCTTTAAGGGGTCCGGGGCCGGGAGGGGGGCATAGAGTTTCCCTGGTGTTGGCCAGAGTGGCCACCAGGGAAACCTGGGAAGCCTTAGCCTCCCACTAGTTCGAACTAAAGGGCTACACAGCCCTTAGTTCGAACTAGCTAGTTCGAACTAGGCGTTAGTCGGCTTGCACCTGGCACGGGCACCGTAGCCAGCCCGTGCCCCTTTAAGGGGTCCGGGGCCGGGAGGGGGGCATAGAGTTTCCCTGGTGTTGGCCAGAGTGGCCACCAGGGAAACCTGGGAAGCCTTAGCCTCCCACTAGTTCGAACTAAAGGGCTACACAGCCCTTAGTTCGAACTAGCTAGTTCGAACTAGGCGTTAGTCCTCGTAAAATGAGGTTTACCTAGTTCGAACTAAGCGCTCCGCTAGTTCGATTCAAATTCGAACTAGCGGAGCGCTAGTGTAGCGCCTAGGAAAGTTAGTTCGAACTAACGTCCGTTAGTTCGAACTAACTTTGTAGTGTAGACATACCCTCAGTCTTCCCTCATAGGTCATGTTTTCTAGACCTTTTTTGTTGTTGTTGTTGTTCTTCTTCTCTGGACCTTTTCCAATTTCTCCATATCCTCTCTGAACTATGGCACCCAGAACTGGACACAGTACTCTAGTTGAGGCCTAATCAGCACAGATTGGAGCAGAAGAATGAGTTCTTGTGTCTTGCTTATAGCACATCCCAGAATGATGTTTGCTATTTTTGCAACAGAGTCACACTGTTGACTCATATTTAGCTTGTGGTCCACTATGATCCCTTTCTGCAGTACTCCTTTCTAAACAAACTTAAAAAACAACGAATAATCTAGCATATTTTCTCCTTTTTGGTATTTGTTGCCTCATTTTAGAACACTGCTGGGCAGTGTACTATGGAGGCATGTTTCATACTATCTCTCATGTTACAGCAACACAGTAATGTGCTAAATTCAAACACATAAGATAACAAAGGCAACCTGAGCTAGACTCCTCTCCCCAAATCCTACCTCCTGGCCCCATTCTTCTCCAGCAGTTGGCAGCAGGGAGAGGGCAGCATAAGAATTAAATGTTAGTAACACTACCTGTTGGTAATGTTAAATGCTGAAATAGCATAATGAGAGAGATCTGTGGGTCTAAATTCTATTGGGATTTAAGCCCCCTGCCAGTTAAGACTCAGAGCCACATAATCAATCTGCCACTGCTTGGAGGAGTCTTGGCAAGCCTCAAAGTCCTAAATCCTCCTAGGAAATTCCCCAATGACTCTGCAGAGACCAATCTGAGCCTGCAACACTGTGGCTTTGAAAAACTGCCCCATAATATCTAGTGTAATTATTTAACAAAAGCATATACATTTAGGCTAAGATAAGACTTTGATGAGTACAGACTATCCCTTGTCTGACTACTGTGAGGTATCTTGCACCTTGCTTTGAAACAGCAGGGGCCTCTTCCAATCTAATTGTTTCCATGTTCCTAAAGAAAGAGATTTGTGGGTGGGTGAATTTTGAATTTATGCATCAATATTTTATGTTTATTGAAGAAAACCAGAAACTCAATAAGTCTTCTTTTAGGAAAGGCAGAAATACCAAGCATTAAAGAATTATTCTGTGAAGTCATGAGTCAAACTTGGTTTTATCCTTCCAGCCTAAAAATACTAAAACTGAATGACAACTTTGGTGACACCTGTTACTCTAGTTCCAGACATTTTTCTTTCAGACAAGCTTACCTGAAAGTTAAGCAGTTTGCAGTAGTATATGAGACCTATTTAAATTATGGCAGCTTCTTGTGATCTGTTAAATACTGTCTCTTTGAGTACCTTTGATTTATTGATTGTATTGTGTTTTGACCTCTATTAAAATCATTGAAATAAAGACAAGTATGAAAAAAATAGAATGACATTTTTATATAGTCTGTATTTTCAGTTGTAATGTATAAGTCCTGTATAGATGTTGAATTTTTAGCTCTGACTCATATTGCAATTTAACCACCCCATCTATATCTCACAGTCTGAAAATAAATAGTATTTTTCCATGTTTTTAAAGTACGTGATCTAGGGATGAAAAAGGCAACATAAAGCCTCAGTCTTGTAAATTATTATTGAAAGTTAAAAATATCATTACAAAAACTTGTAAGAAATTAAGATAAAAAGGATGATGGTGTTAGATTACCTGGGATATTACCTGTGGATATTATAAGGTATTGAAAGTCAGATTACCTTTTATTAATGTTAGTGATAATTGAGGCTGATTTATGAAAAATTAAAACATTAGCATTCCTGAGTTACAGACAATGTTAGACCTTAGAAAATTGTCCAGGACTGGTGCTTGCATTCCTAAGTGGCTCATAATTATTTTTCTCTTTTTGTATACGAAGGTGTTTTATAAGAAAGGTGTAGGCTCTGGCACAGCAGTAAAAGAGACTCCTGAGATTGAACGAGTAAAGAAAAATCAGCAGAATATCAGTTCCGTAAGTACATCAACTGTACTTCCCCAGAGCAAAGAGTGGTCAATTTTTTTCCATTGTGTTTATAATAAATATTACCTTTTCCTATTCTTCACCTTATTCAAATGCTCGTCCATCAGATTGCCAAGGTTTAATTACTGATATCTGATGGAAGAGCATTTGGATCAGTATTAACACTCTATTGGGGCTCCATGGCTTCAAATGTAATGTTTAATTTGGATGCATCATCATTAATGTGAAATAGATCTTTTTAAAATTTAAATATACGATGACAGGATTTTATCTTTTAATACCCCCAACTTAACTATATTGCAAACTGTTGCAAGTCAATGAGGCGCATCTCTCAAAAATTAAGGTGATCTATACGACATTAATATGGCCCTCTTGTATGTAGATGTTATAATGCAGCCTTTAATTACATGATCATATACTGCTTTTCCACTGGACTCTTGCCTCAGTAAGTGCACAGGATGGAGCTATGCTAGGGAGGAATCAGCATTATATAATGAAGGAGGCTGTTGTCTCTGGGACCATTCTTTCATTTGTGTAGAAGCTGGAGGCTCTAGTGAATGAGGTAGGGGATTGTAGAAATTGAAAGAATAGTCTCCTAGTTAAAGCAAAGACTGGTGCTTTGGAGAACTGGATTCTACCCCTGCTTCTGCTATAAGTTACTTAGTCACTTAGACCAAGCTTTTCGCTGTGTTATTTTCATAGGTTTTTCACTAGGTGTGCTTCATTTTTTGGGTTCCTGGCTTGAGACCTTTGGTTCTAATTTGCAGAAGTGCTAAGCACTCACATCTGCAATTGAAGTCAATGGAACATCTACTTTGAACATATTAAGTTCCATATAATGGCAGGAGCTCTGAAAAATCAGGTGTCTCAAAGCACCCAAGTTTGATGGATATTCTTGACCACTAGTCTTTGTCTCAGTTCATCATCTGTAAAGTGGGAATAATACCATCCTGTCACCTCTCCGGGGTGTTGTGAAAATAAATACATTTCATGTTTGTTGGATTAAGCACTTGGATACTAGTAGGGAAGAACCACATAAAAAAGCCCATGAGAAATTTTATAATTCTGTCTTCAGAGTAGAGTTTGAATACGGCACAGCAAGTACGGTATGGGGCCACATATTGAACAAAGAGAATAAAAGAAAATATGAGTAGGTGTTCACAATGAAGCTCTGGAAAAAATAGTATATGTTCATGTAATGAAAGACTCTCTCTCAATGCATATACAAGTATCCTTAATTGTGGAATTTCATAGCTTTTGAATAGACATTGCAATCTAAAAAATGTTCTTTAGCATTTTTGTGTAGGATAGAAAATTATGGAAATGGCTTTACTTTTAATATTTTTATATTCCCTTGTCTTGCTATTGAGAATCATTTTCAACTGGGTTATAAAATTGACAGGCCTACTATTTGGGAGGGGGAGAGGCCCAGTGATTGGGAGGGGGAGAGTTGCCCTGAGGCCCAGTGATTCAAAGGAGCCTTGGTCTCCCAGCCACTTCTACTGAGCAGTGGCTATGAGAGCTGGTGGGGGGACTGTGCACTGGGTGCTGTTGAGAGCTGGCTGTTCTGGCCACACTCCTTCTGCCCAAGGCGCTGCCCCTTCCCAGAGTGGGGAGCTGTACCCACACACATACACTGTGCCTAGGAGACTGCAGTGGCTGTGGGCTCCCCTGAACATCAACACACAATTCAGTGTTTCTTGTAAAGTTTGCTGTTCTATTACCTTTGTACATTTCAGAAACACACTTCATGCTGCTATAAATGATGAGAGAATCCTTTATTATTATTTATTTCACACTTGCCCTGAGATTGTGGGCCCTTTTGTGCTAGGCTCTGTACAGATAAATTGTAACTGACAGTCTGTCCCCGAAGAGCTTACAATCTAAGAAGACAAGACAGACAAATGATGTGACAGGGTGCAGTTGCACCGCAGGGCTTAAGTAGAAATAAACTATGCAAATTGAGTTATGTCAATTTCATAGCTTATTTCAAAATAGGGAGCATCCACATAACACTTATTTCAAAATAGAGCACTCTTCCTCCAAATTCTCTTATTCCTCGTATAGTGAGGGTTATAGGAATCAGAATAAGAAGTCCTCCGGCTTGACAGTATTTTCATACTATTTTGAAATAACTGCCTGCTGTGTAGATATGGACTAAGTTATTTCAGAATAATGCTAGTTATTTGGGAATAATGTTGCAGTGTAGATGTACCCATAGAAAATAGAGGCACAGAGAAATAAATTAACTTGTCCAAAAATCACACAGCAACACAATGGTAAAACCAAGAATATCAAGCCCTGATTTCCACTCTAGTGTCTCATCTGCTGGAGCACACAACCTCTCCTTATGTTGAATTCTAGGTTCTATCTATCTATCTGTCTATACACACACATATATAAGTCCAAAACATACTTCTGGTTTTACATACACTCTGAATCATGCCTTCTGTTGTATCCTACCATACAGTAATTCACAAGAGATAGTAGTATAATGATATGTAATAATTAGCAACAACACTAGCACTAAAGATTGGACTATATCAGCCTAAAAAGCCTCACTAATGCCTCATGATCAAAAACCAGAGCTTAGCTTTCCCCACAAAGAGAATTCAGTGGGGAAGGAGAGAAGGGTGTGTTTCAAGAAAGGTCCTGCTTAAACCCACATTAGACATTGAAAGCTTTGACCGTGTTTGGGATTCATCAGCCAGAACCCTACCTATCTTCCTCTGTATATCCTGAGCTTGTATCTGGATTTTGAGAGGAACTCCATTTCTTCGCTGCCCAAGTCTGCTGACAAATAGGCTTTAAGATACAATGTCATAAAAAATAAAAAAAATCAGTGAGCAGATACTGAGATATTACTCTTGTGCCATAACAGCTATCAAACCAACATGCTCTATCATGCACCATCAAAAATACACCATCATGTATTCTTAATGTTTTATCTGATTGTCTCATCAACAAATGAATACAACTTGTGACAAAGCTCCTTCTCTGCCTTGGTGGGTCCAGTGCTTTCTGGTGGATTGTTCATGGCAACCCTCAGTTTAGGTGTTTTCCCTCGGGGTACACACTTGCCATTTACTTAGCCATCCTCATCATTGGCCAGCATAGAGCAAAGGGAGGAGAACAATCCCCGTAATCTCTGATGCGCCTCTGAGTGGGTCCGAGACAGGTCAAACTCATTTCCAAAACAGCCCTTCCTCTCTGGTGTCTCTCTCTCTGCCCAGGCCAGCCCTCCCATGGCAAATAGAGAGTTGTGGGACAGGGGAACCCAGGCCTGCCCTCTACTCCAGAGTCCAGCCCCTCCCCAGTACCTCCTTTGTCCTTACTACTGGACATCCTCCTGGTATCTGAGAATGCTTATATCTCTCAGTCCTCCAGCAGTGTGCCTTCTTACTCTAGCATATTTCACACCCTAAAGTCTTTTTGACCAGTACTAGCTGGTTCTTAATTGGCTCCAGATGTCCTGATCAGCCTGTCTTAATTGATTCTAACACGTTCCTAATTGACTCCATGTGTCTTCATTGGCAGCCTGCCTGATTTGGTTTGAGCAAGTTCCTGACCACTCCTAGTTAGCCCCTGGTATCCAACCAGAGAAAGGGGACTTGTTTAATCTGAGTCTAATATATCTGTCTTCGATCACTCTCCTGTAGCCATTTGGTCTGATCCTGTCACACTGTGTAACATACTATCGCATTACACATTTCAGTACTTGGCTTAAATGGCCTATTGGTTGCTATCCTAACAAGCTAAAGATAGACTCTGAGGGAGAATGGAGGGTGTTCCCCAGTGCTCTCAGGTAGAGATCTTCTTGAAATTGCATGCTGGTTATATGTAAGGGATGCTACCACTTCCACCACCTTCAAGAAGGGGCACCTTTCAGAAAGCAGCCTTAAATTCACAAATACTTCGGAGTCCATCTTATGCACGGCACTTGGCCAAACAGACAAGGGCTGCCACATGAATCCTGTGCTGGGTTGAGTAAGATCTGATCCCATCCAAGTGGACAAGGAATCGGAATGGTTACTGTTTAGAAAAACAATAAACATGATTATTCTTTAAAATGTAGGCATTCTAATCTATAATACTACTATGTAAAATCCTATTAGGCACGGGAGGAGGATTACAAAAAGTTTGTTGTGCTTTTCTAGGTCTCTCATAAGTTAGTAACACTTTTAAAATATTCCTTATTCAGATAAAATACAAAGAAGAAATTAAGCATGCCACAGCAATTTCTGATCCCCCAGAACTAAGAAGAGTTAAGAAAAACCAGAAGAATATTAGCAATGTGCGACTCTTATTCATTCTTTTCATTATACTATATTTTCTCTGTTGAATGTCTTGTTCTAAATGAATAAATCTGCGATGTTTGCATTAATTCTACTTCGTCAAAAAGACTTTAACAATTTAACTGTTCACTTATTGTTGAGCTTTGATTAACATTAATGAGAATTACCTACTCATATCAAAATAACATACACTTGATGTGTGAATTTGAGAATGTGCAAAAGGATCAGCATGAAGTACCATGTAGATAGAACATATAATTGCATGTTCATTAATGTATGATATTTTCTAGTAAAATGCTTTACATTATTCTTTAATCTCTATTAATAGAATGAAATACTTTTTACCAGGTTCAGTACAAAGAACAGCCTTGCAAAGCTACACCTGTGACTGTCACCCCTGAGATGGAAAGAGTCAAGAAGAATCAAGAAATTGTCAGCTTGGGAAGTTGCTTTAATTTTTTCCTTACATAATCATCTGATCTATAGATTTCTAACAAAACAACTCTCCATAAAGATGTTTGTTTTCCTTAATGGAGCATATATACAAAAAGAATTACATATCTTAACGGAAACCTCCAGAATAACAGTTGCCCAAGGACCTATTAACAGGGCCCTTGAATGATTCAGGAAATGAAACCTGATACAAGTTTCTGGAATAAATCACTGACCATAGTTTTATTAAACAAAAAACTATTAGAACTAAAACTATTCCTCCTCTTTCAGGTCATATATTTGATTGATACAGTCCTCTTTATGTTTCCCTGGCCATAATTGTCTGCAATTAAATATGGACTTCAGTTTAATCCCTCCTTTGTTTTCCTACTTCTCCCCGCAAAACCTGCTCAAAGACAAAAGGATCACCTCAAAATCCTACTGCTGGGCAGAAAGCTGTGTAAGAAGGCAGAGCTCTTGTGAGCATATTCCCCATCCTTGCACTCCTGAAGGACTATTCTCCTTTCTGATCTGTCTTCAAAGACACTCTGGCTTCCCTGCTCCTCTGGACTCCCAAATTGAGCATGAGATAATGGGGCTGCTGGTGCAGTGGGCTCTTTCTACTCAGAGATTTAGAGGATTGGAAGCACGTAAATCAAAGATGACGTCAGCAAAGGCAATGAGGAAATGGGAGTGTGTTTGGTTCAAATTTCCCTCTGTTTATGCCACTTGCCAAAGTTCCACTCTGGTTGTGGCTGGAAGTATCCATTCTTCCCATAGAGGCTAGCTGATTTAATAGATTCATAGATTTTAAGACGAGGGTTTATTATGGTTTACTGGTCTGATCTGCATAGAACCTTACAGCAATTTCTGCATCAAGCCTGTAACTTCTCTTTGATCTAGGGCATATCTTCTAAGCAGATGGCCAGACTTAATTTAAAAATTTCAAGTGATAGAAAATCCAACACATTCATATATAAGTTGTGTAATGGTTAATAGCCCTTGCTGTTAATAATCTGTGCCTTAATGCTAGTCTGAATGTATTTAGTTGCATCTTTCAGACATTAGATCTTATGCTTTTTTCTGCTTTTTTTTCTTTACTTTTAAGGGCCTGCTGGCTATCACAGTGGGCTAAAACTGTTCCTACATAGATTAAAGAGTTGTCTGTTATCTTTTCTGTGTGTAGATACTTGTTGTCTATTAGCAAGTCACTTCTAACCTTTTCTTGGATAAACTAAATAGAAGTATCTTCTTTAGTGTAGTACAATTATATATGTTTTCAAAACTGCTGCATTCCTTTTAGCATTTTTCTGAACCCTTTTCAAGTTTTCAATATCCTTTTTGAAGTTTGAACTCCAAACATATTATTCGAGTTATGATCTTATTATTCTTTATGTGATTGCTGGGTTTGCTTTGCTTTTTTGTTGTTTTGATACAGTGAGTGCCATTAAATTCTTGACATTTACCACTTGCTGTCATTGAATTTATTGCAGTATTTGTGGCATGTCCCATTCTAAGTGGCGGGAGTACCATAAATATGGTAAACTTTAGTATGGTAAATGCCAAGTTATTAATTGGTGCACACAGTGTCTCTGTATATACACACAGATACATAAATAATAAAAATCCTTAGGAAAAATTCAAGGTTATGTTTCAAGAATCAAGTTGTATAAGCCTTAATAAATTTCAAATGCAGTTTAGCCTTTGATTTGTTTCCTGGATGACCTTTTAAAGCATATGCCTTTATGTTATGGAACATGGTTTATTGAAATAACATGCACCACTTTTTATTCTGTGAAATGATAGGTTCACTATAAAGGGCAGCTTGCCAAAGCTACTTCTGTCAGTGTCACTCCTGAGATGGAAAGAGTCAAGAAGAATCAAGATAATATCAGCTCGGCAAGTTATTTAAATCTTTTTGTTCTGTTTATTTTCATAACATGAGTATGCTTTTCAATTTAGATTTCATGTGATAAATGCATCCTGTTACATCATCCATTTGAAGGTGAATTGTTGATCTTTCAAAAATATATACTACACATACCACCACACACATGCCACCATGGGCAACAAAAGTATACATGCTTCCCATAATTACTTTCACAAAATATAAGTGGATCTCTTGGGAGTAGTGCTCTACAAGGACAAACTCATGCTATGGATGACTGGATTTTGTTTGAGAAATCTTGGTTTCTTGTCAGCAAGCTTCAGAAGTAAACTCTAGGTTAAAAGACTAAAAGGAACATGAATTAGAAACTTAATGCAAGCTCAGCTTTTTGTGATTCAAAGCATGAAAATGTGAATATGAGTTTCTGTTCCATGTTATATTATGTTGTGCTTTATCCATATCAGAGATGACTGATCCAAAAGGGATCCTACTTCCTTAATATCAATGAGTAAGGCAGTATATTTATCTTGGATTTTATGATTATGTTCAAGGATTTTTTTTTTATTTCTGATTTTAACTGTCTATTAATTTTTTATCATTACAAAGTTTTAAAGCTTTTGAATGAGGGGCTAGATGGATGACTGAACATTTGAATTAACTTGAGAGAGATTTAAAAAGTCAGACAGCCAAAGAGGCAATTAGAGAATGTGACACAGGGATAAAAACAGAGGCAAGTTTCAGGGAGTGCCCCAAGCACAAGAACACAAGGAGTGAAATTCTGGCCCCAAAGACATCAGTGGCAAAACTCTAATCACAATAAGGTCAGGATTTCATCCAGAGCAGTAAAAAGACAAGGTTTGAAGAGAAGTGGTAGTAAAGAACACCCTAAAACTTAGTGTTTATTGGAGAAATATTAAAGGAGCCTGCATCTGTCAGAGTACATAAGAGTCAAAGGAACAATAAGGCTATGTCTACACTGGCAGGTTATTGTGCAAGTACGGCTGTTCTTGCGCAAGAATCCGCACAGCGTCTATACTGCCCGCTCTTGTGCAAGGAAATTTCCAGTACAGCATGGTAAGAGACAACTCCTTGTGCAAGAGCTACGCTCTTTTTTAACAGGTGTAAGCCCTGTTGCGCAGGAGTTCTTGCGCAAGAGGGCAATGTGGACGCTCAGCAGGGATTTCTTGCGCAAGAATGGCCATCAGAGCTTTCTTGCACAAGAGAGTGTCCACACTGCCATGGTTGCTCTTGCGCAAAAGCACAGTTCTCACATAGCAGTGTGGACGTTTTCTTGCACAAGACTTCTTGCACAAGAACCCTTGCACAAGATGGTCTTGTGCAATGAGCTGCCAGTGTAGACATAGCCTAGTTGTTGACTCAAGTGGCTGTGAGATATCTTTAAAATGTAAGAGCAAATGTTAATTTAGATATCTATATCTGGGATGCTTAATTTCTTTATCACAGAAAGGTACTTATGAGTTTTAATTATGTTTATCATTATTCTTGCAAATTGAAATACTTTTACAAAGACTTTCCCCCAAATAGACTTGATAAATGCTCAGCCATACTAATGAGCAGTGACTCAGAGATGTAATGAAATACACTGGCAGTAATTATATGATGTAAGATAAGTATGTTGGTATCAAGAAAGACAGTTACATTTGAAATTTTTATTATATACTGTTAAAGCACATTTACTTAAAAAACCCACTGCCTAATAAATCTTTATAGACTATGCTGCAGTTTATACTGTGGATTGCTGCAGGGTTATAAAACAAACATAAAATACCAAATTTCATTTATTTGCTGAATAGTTGGAATTATATTTTATTCTCCTTTCAGTATAAGAGCACATTCATATAATCATAGAATACTAGAACTGGAAGGAACCTCGAGTGGTCATCAGATGCAGTCCCCTACGCTCATTGCAGGAGTGGGACCATCTGGATCATCCCTGACAAGTGTTTGTCTATCCTGGTTTCTCCATAATCTCTCTAGGCAATTTATTCCAGTTCTTAACCTCCCTGACAAATAGGAAGCTTTTCCTAATGTCCAACCTAAACTTCCCTTGCTGCGATTTACACCTATTGCTCTTGTCCTATCATCAGGACACCCTTTTAGGTATTATGTTATAATAGATTCGTGCACATGGTTTGAGAGGAGATACCTGTGAATGTAAATGCCTGGATAAAACTAAAAAACCAGTCTATATTAGCATACAATCGGCATGTTATGGTTTGAGAATGAAGATTAAGATAAGAGTGACCATTAGTAAAAATCCTCCAGTTTACAGAAGCCAGTGCTAATTGACTACTGCTTTTGAATTAGAAACTCTTGCATTTGTTGCATGAAAAAGTTGACAATTGCTGTTTGCAAGTATTTAATATTACTGTGGTATTCCTGGCATTCAGTATGCTAATCAAATAGAGTACCACAACAATATTAATTAGGCACAACATAAGATTGTAAATGGTAATGGTGACTGCTACCCACACAACACATAAGGGCATAAATGCTCATTCTCTAAATCTATCAAGATGATCCATTTTGCACCTGCACTTCTGGTGAAGTTTGGGCACAGAACTGGTATATGCAGTCCCAGGATGATCTCCCAAGTATAAGGGCAGGCCTGGGCAAAGGGTTTGCGGGCCCAAGGCAGGATGCTGGGAGTGGGGCCCCGGGTTCAGCTGCTGAATGGTGAATACTCAGCAGTGTGGGGTCCCGAAAGTGTGGGGCTCAAGGCATTTGCCTTACTTGCCTTGCCCTAGGGCCAGGCCTATATATGTGGGGGTCAATCATCTGGTGACAGATGTTCGTATACTATGTCCTATCCCTTCTAGAGGAAAGAGTTAAAGATTATTTTGGGAGGATCTGGTAGTTTAGTCTCCATATTAAATTCAATACTAGCACCTTTAAGAGAGCCAATTGTGATGGTATTTTTTGTGAGGCTTGTCATTCTCAGTATCTTTCCATGTACATGAATTCTTCATGTGTACTGTTGTTGCTGTTTTACAGGTCAAATACAGCAGTGATCAGAAGCAGATGAAAGGTAGATCTAGTGTGATTCTTGACACACCTGAGCTAAGGCATGTTAGAGCAACACAAAACAACATCTCAATGGTAGGGTACATTCTTCAAATAACTAGACTATACTAAGGAATGACACTTGAGTTTACACTGGGGTTTACCCTTCATTATTCTAGGTAACTAATTATACACTGTACTAAAGTATGGAAACTGTTTTCCCATAAGCAATTCAAGGGACAGGGTGTTGCTAACTGCATATGGATGTAATGGATATTGTCAAAATACTAATAAAAGGTTTTCTAACAGTTTATTGTCTGTCTTATTAAAAATAACTTCAGGTTGTTCCTTGCCATTTGAGCATCAATAGTCTTACTGGATTAGGTGACACACACCACTTTGTGCTTGTGTATGTGTCTGGTTTGTGTATGACTTGAATCTTGGAATTAATTGTGGGATGTGTGTGTGTATGCGTGTGTGCATGTGCATGCAAATTAAAAATGTTACTGGCTAAGAATCTTTTTTAAAAATCTAATAACACATAATCTGGGATTCTGCCTTTATTACACGTACTCATATCAATTTTATTCCAAAGCTTGGTATGTAATATTTTTTCTACTCTTCTGTCTCTTTTTGGAAAACAGAAATTGCTTAATTGTACATAATTCCTAGGTTTATATAACCGGCTAGTGCTCATCAAGAAACGCTGGAGGAGGGAATACATCTTTTATATGAAAATGTGCATGTCAGCAAAATTCCTAATGAACTAAATTACTTTTTGAGATCCGTAAGAACCTTATCCTGATATCACAGTAATGTTTGCATTTTTAGATGTACAGGTCAGCATCATTATATGAAGAGGCTCAAGGGCTTGAGTTAATGCTTAATGGAATGGCAAGCAAAAAAAAAGAAGTATTTTTTTAATGGTAACATGTAATCAAACCTTATCAAGGACTAGAACATCTGTCAGGTCTTTCCCATCTCTTTTTTCTATTATATTATTATGGTGCACAAATCAAAGTCTAAAAATGCCTTATTGTGAAATAGTGCTTGCTAGTTGTTTTAGCATAATTCAGATAGGACTATCTGTCTCAGCTGGGGAAAAAAAGCATTCTTTTTCTTTTTCAGGTGAAATACCATGAAGATTTTGAGAAGACAAAGGGCAGAGGTTTTACCCCAGTGATGGATGATCCTGTGACAGAACGGGTGAGAAAAAACACCCAGGTTGTGAGTGACGCTGCATATAAAGGAGTACATCCACACATAGTTGAAATGGATAGAAGACCTGGAATAATTGTTGGTAAGTTGTTAAATAATGTCTAAAGATCTGTGTGACAGTAAAATACTCTGCTCCTCCTTACAACGAAGAAAAATACTCCCTTTTTCATTTTACTTGCCTCTGATTGTGGTGATGGTGTTAAATATCATTAGCTTACCTTATTAGTCAATATACTCTCTTATTTTGTGAGTTTTTTTTTTAAATTAAAATCAAGGGTCAGAATTGGGGTTTCAGAGAATAATTGGCAGAAGGGGTAATTGTAATCAACCTCACCAGCATCAAACTAATGAAGACATTAAGCAATCAAATGTTAAAATGAAAGACTGGTACAAGATAGTAGCTTTACAAAACCGTAAGAGGAAAACTGCAGAGTAAAATAAGAGGTATTTGAATCACTACATCAAACTACAAGAGTAATTTTTATATTTGAGACTTTATAATATTTAATGTAAATAAATAATCCAATAGTGAACTACTATCAAGAGTATTGTGTAGATTAGCCCTGAGAGAATTCAGCTTCACCCTTGGAATGCATGGGGAGGCAGACATTTGTTTTAAGGTGAAAGGGTTTTTTTGTTTATTTATTTAAAAGTAGAACCACCTTTCTTACGAATTAAACTAGTAATCAAATTTGTTCATTCCTAGTCTGCATTCCCCATGGGAAACTTGTATTGAAATATCAGAACAGTGTCAGCTTCTTATGAGATCATTAATATTACGAAGGTATGAAAGGGTGACAGGTATTTCTAGAAGCTGGAGAGATATGTTCTCATTTGCCACCAAACTTTGTTAGATGCTATAAATAATCAGTGCAGTTTTTCTTTAACTTGAACATTGATGTACCTGGCATTCACTGTTCAAGAGAGAATTAGAGCTGCAGCGTTCTTCAGCTGAATAAACTTGTATCCTTCTCAAGCAATAGTTCTCTGAGATATACAATCTGCAGATCAGTTCATAAGAAAAGGACACCTTTCATGAATCCTCTCCTCTCCCTACCTATAATGCCTTGGGAATGCTCCATATGAGAAGTACACATGGTCCTAACATTTTGTACTACTGTGAAAACATCTCATTGTGTGGCTAGTCAGTAGCTCTTCAGGTAGGCCACAGCTCATCAAGAACAGCTGTTCTAAAGGAGTGTTCAGCTTAAGGTCTTAAGTGGTCAGAGACAAGAAGGTGGACATGGTATTTCTCTGGGCCATAACATTTTGAGTTTTGCTGTCTCACTGAATTTTCATATCAAGTAATCTTTGCTCAAAGTGAAAAAAATGTAAACCCTAAAAGATAACAGAATTGTACTGGGAACAGGAAAGAGAACCTGACTTTATTCATTTTTCTTCTCTGGCTCTTGTCTTTTGTCATCTGCCCTGCCTGACATGAATCCAGGCCACAGGACTCCCCACAGTGTTCATTCTAAAGAATTCTGAACCTAATAAGAATGGTACTTTATGACAGAATTGAATGGAGACTAAGAAGACTCAGCCTTCTTAATAGAGAATTTTATAACAGGGAGTGCTACCCTGTGGAAAATAGCTTTACAGGCCTTATACATCCTGACACTAAGGCAATACAACCTGGTGAGAGGAATCATTGGCCTTCCAAGGGAACCCCGAAGCCAGAACAATTGTCTGACATCCACAAACTAGTATCAAGGTAGTCAACTAGGAGTAGAAGATCTCATACATACATGTGGTCCCTGACATCCTATTCAGCACACATTTTAAAATCCAGTCTGTGCTGCATTATAAGTTTTATTTTTGCTTTGCGTACATGTAATTCACTAATGCATGAATAATGACGGGCTCAGTGCCATGCGCTCCTCATAACTCAGTTCATCTCTCAGAATATAAACTGCACTACTTACAACCAAATTACTGAAGAAAAGTTAACATTTTTATACCTCTTATCAAATATAAATCCTTTACTAAAAGAAAAAAAAATAAAGAAACACACCCTAATATTTCAGTTAATGTATTTCTCAGAATGACCTGCAATCATATAGACTTGTTAAAACAGAATCAAAGACCCCCTTCAGGGGACGTACCTGGCATCTGGAAAAGATTGCAGGTAAAAAAGTCTTTAGCTTTGACTCTCTTTAAATTAACCCAGCTGATAAATGTTAATTCAGGTAAGGAATAATGCTTCCTTACCAGAACCTATCTGGCGGGCTCTCTAAATGTAATCGGTGGAGTCCTAAGAACTTTTTCCAATACTCGAGCTCTGCCAAAATTAATAATTCTCCTTTAGAAAATGAAACTTTATGTTAAGCCTAATAGGACAATCCAAAACCAAACTCCCTGAAATCTGATTTGTCTATGGATTGGTGAAGTAAAAGGGGTTTATGTAGCTCACGTGGGTAAACATCTAACAACAATGTTGTCAATTAGATAGAGGCCACAATGAAGTTGAAGTGCCCCATTTGATAAAGTGAGTTGCAAGGCTCTTGATCTATACACATTATTGCAGACTATTACAGGAGCATAAAACCAACATACTAAATAAATGGTTTGTATACTGAAATCCATATGTACTCATAGTTTTCCAGTTTTTAATTTAGAAATGCTCAGTGAAGTGTGCAAAATAGGGAACTCACCGATTCACTTCCTCCTTCAAGCTGGCCTGTGCTTTACATAAATGTTCAAATGATCATTGCTAGGGCTGATTGCACATTGGCTTTCCGCCTTTCTATTAATTGTGTGTACTGCAGCTAGCACTATGCTCCAGTGTAAATATATAGCGGATAACTCATATAGTGAACCCAGCCTCATGCTATGCGGTCTGTTTTATTGGCTATTTCTGCTCTTGTTGTGTCACCAGTTGCAGGAATCTGGCATAAGCAATCCAATAAATCACTTGGGTTGCCACATATTTAGGATCCCCAGGGTACTGCTTCACCTACTGATTTATACGCTAGTCTGCTTCCAGTTCTCCACAGATAGAGGGCCAGGTTCATTTCTCCTCCTCTAACATATGTGATTGACTAAGTCCTGCAGGTGGCTCGCCTAGAAGAAGACACGAATGAATGTACAATTTGCTTTTTCTCCTGTTATCTGACAGATCCATATTGGTAACATTTGGTATCAAGATTTAATTATGAAATGATTAATAGATTTGATAAGCATATTATTGCCGCAAGCATTACATGTTACATATTGTGGTAAGCCTGTAAACAGAAGGCTTTATAGATGATTATATACATGGTTATAAGTAACCTTTTGACCTGTGGAGCTCTATAACTATTGAATAGATATTTAATAAAACATCTTTTAATCATGTTAACCTTTTATACATTGTTTATAAAGGAACTCTTCATTAAGATGTAACCTTTTAATCTGTAGAACTCTACCCTAAGCTATCAAGGTAGAGAACTGCACAATTTGTAATGATTTCTGTGTAGTATTGTGAGGAAAAATCTCATGGTTATCACTGGTACTAAATTGTGGCCCAGTAGAACTTTGTGATAATGTGGGCTAAAATATGGCTGGTGCCCTAAAAAACGTAACTGTTAAGACACAGAAGCACCATGTAACTATCTAGATCATCTAGCATGATGGGGTTGTAATTGTTTCCATTGGAATAGCCTTAGAAAATTGGTAAAACTGGTATAGTGTTGGAAAATGTTACTCTAATTTTTGACAAAATTAAAAGGAAAAGCACAAGTAAAGCCCAGAATTAATTATGTACAACACATAAAATTAATGCAACAAAGTCCTTTAAATGACAGCTGAGAAAACAGATGCCTTCTTGTCTATGAATGTCTAAATCTTTCCATTGCTGTCTCGATCAAGGTAATCCCTGTCATTTTAAAACTTGTTGTTCTCATGCTTTTATTTCCTTCACTGCTTGTCTGTCTTATCATTTCTTTCTTTTGGGAAAAGACCTCAAAGTTTGGCGCACAGATCCTGGCTCCATCTTCGACATTGATCCTCTGGAAGACAGTATTCAGTCTAGAAGTCTACGTATGCTTTCTGGTATTGCTTATATCTTGAGTTTTCCCCAAATCCACTTTTTAATGAAGCTATTGTATTAAATTTTTGGATCAATATGCCAGTCATATGTTATATTTTTCATTTTAAAACCATTTCTAGTTTTAAAATGAGTATATTAAAGGAAATTATAGCTATATTCTCACACACCACTAATGCATTTATCTTAAACTAGAATTATGATTTTCAGTTCACTGAAGTCTCTTGTCCTGATTTCCAAGTAGTTGGATTTCACTAAAACTTCAAAAATGCATGAGGGCTTAATTCATTAAATAAGTTTAACAACCATGTGTAATTTTTGTTTATGGGTTACAGTGATTATATTTGATTGCTCCTGTCTGTTTACAGTACCACCTCCAATGTATGTTATGCTTTCCAAACATTCAAGAAAGGACAGCTCCTGCTCCTAGATAGCCCACAATCCAGATTTTTGGGGAAAAATATTTCCAAACAGTATATTGTACATACTCTCCTTCCAACGGGACTAAGAAATTAGGACTGAAAATCAATGTAAATTATCTAGAATCATTTGTATATTGAGTCTATAAAAAGAATAGTATTTAATGTACAGGTGGGTCGCTCACTTTCATGTTTGAGGATTATCAGACTTCTCAAGCAATTACATGGAATTTGTTTTTGAATAAGTTTGAATTTCAAAGCCATTTCCTGTATGATTTAAAGCCACATTTTTTCCAATGGCTATCAAATTTAAAAGCAAATGCACTTGTTTTTTTAATATCTGAAAAACTTTTGTATACATCAGGAATGGAGTAATGCCTTTATTTTTCAACAGCAGGTTTTTTTTCTCCCTTCTCTGCTCCATTTTCTAGGATCTTTGCATCTTGCCCTCATTTATTTCCCTTCTTTATGCCATTTGAGGCAGGGTACAATCCAGTCAAGTCCTAGTCAAACTTTTTTGAACCAGTGATGTTTCAAACTAATGTGCCATTGAGCAGCATTCACCTTTCAAGCTGTTGTTAGATAAATCATTTACTGTGATCTTTGTTTTCTTCTGTTTTACTTTTCTGTCAGCTAATCATTTACTGCGGTACTCTTTTCCCCTTTGTAGAAAAAGCAAGCCGTTTTAATAAACAGCATTTCCATTCCATCAGTGCTTTTGGCATGAGTTTGGGAGATGAAAAGTCAGATGGTTCTGAGACAAACCCTACCCTTTCTTACTGCAGTGAGGTAACAAGGCCATCTGATGAAGGAGGTATCCATGGAATCCCACTATTTTTTTCCACTAATAACATTGTCACATTGTGTTCAACTCTCACAGGCCAGAATTAACTCAACCAATCTTATTTATGCATAAAACATTAGACCCGTGTGAGCTTTTGAAATACTTGCACTGAACTTAGTCCATTGGGAGGCACAAGAAGCTTTTCAAGCTTCCATACTTATTTGCATGCCATCTTTCTATTCCCCATCTCATCACCTTTGGGAATTGAACTGTAATAATCTGAAAGCTTGAATAACTGCCATTTTCAATAATGAAATGAAGACTCCTTTTGTTCTAACAAAACTCACCAATCTGGTTTTCTTTTCCTTTCAAAGACATAATGGGAGTGCACAGTGTAAATGAGAAAATATGCAATTTAACTAAGCAATTTGAACCTATATGTGATTTCCAGTGAACAAATCAATCTTATAGTAGCAGTTGAAGGGGCAAAAAGGCCATTTCTCACTATTAACATAGAAAATATCTGTATGTGCTAGACATCTTTTCTGATACCTTGAAAGAAAAAGATGCATCAAGAAGAAAGACTGATACCTTTCTTAGATAAACTTTCCTGGGCTCTCATATGCTATAGACCTGAAAACAAGGTATTCAGAAAACACATTTAGAAATTAAGATTATAATCTGATTTTTTCCCAGTGTAGTGTGTCTCATTAGAATTTTGTGCAAAAGTTGTTTTCATTATGATAAACTCATATCACAAATATAAATACCTCTGCTAATGAATCTTGTAGTCTACAGGGTTGTAAAATAAATAGATCTGTGAGAATGATTTTTTGATCTTTAAAAAGTTAAAAGTGAAATTTCTGTATTAGTGTGACTTTCTGTTCTATTAAGCCTCTTCTCCCTCACACACACGGCCCCATCAAACAAAACCTAGTCCCATCCCTTTGCATTCAGACCTTAGGGGTGATTCCTCTGACTGCATGGTTGAACTCCTTCAAGCTTGCATCTAGTCTTTGTTTTGAGTACCTGTAGGATCCCTCATTGTTCCACCTGTCTAAATCACAAAGGAGCTTAATTGCTTGTTCTGTTTGTCTTGAATGAAAGGCTGCTGTTACATCCACCAGCTTCAGTGAAGTTTCACTCAATCACCAGTGTAACAATATATTGGGTTTATACAGTCTGGAACAGAAAATCAGTCTGAGAAGAAAAAACGTTTTGTTGGAGTCAAAAGAATTCTTTCTACCCAATCCTGATCCACCTACCACGTCCTTCATATAGTGATTCTCCGGAACCTCTTTGATTGGAAATCTTAGAGGGATACCAGGATCACTACTCTTCTTGCCAGTTATAATTCAAATATTTGTTGAGCTTTCCTGTAAGGCTACGTCTATATTGGCAAGATTTTGCGCAAATACTCTTTAATGCAAGAGTTTTTGCATTAGATTATTTGAGTAAGAGAGCGTCTACACTGGCATGTGCCTTTGTGCAAAAGATGTGCTTTTGTGCAAGAGCATCCATGCCTGTGTAGATACTCTCTTGCTCAAGAAAGCTCCGATGGCCATTTTAAACATCGGGCTTTCTTGCGCAAGAAATTCATGATGCCTGTCTACACTGGCCTCTTGCACACGAACAGTTGCGCAAAAGGGCTTATCCTTGAACGGGAGCGTCAGAGTATTTGCGCAAAATCTTGCCACCTGTCTACACTGGCCTCTTGCACACGAACAGTTGCGCAAAAGGGCTTATCCTTGAACGGGAGCGTCAGAGTATTTGCGCAAAATCTTGCCAATGTAGACACAGCCTAAGTGTTTGGGAACTTCCCTCTTCATAAGAGAGTGCAGGGGCCATTCTGCATTCTTTGGGGTCCTCAGTACACATTTTCCTCCTCGGTGTACTGAGAAGAGATTTTAGGTGGATTACCTTTTCTGATTGTTGTGGTTGCTGTGGATATCAGTTGTCTTCACTGGTATATGACCTTTCTTTTTGGTTGGGTTTTAAGGCTGTTATATTTGGAAAAGTGTCTGGGTTTCTTTGTCACAGGAAGGGGCATGTTGCAACTTTTGCAAAGGCATCTTTAAACTGTGGCTAAATCTGAGAGAAGGATCAATTCAGCAAGTTGATGCATGTAGATGGACTGCCAATGTTTGGCCAAAAGAGATTCCAGCTTTCTCTACATAGGAAGACCATGCTGGCTTGTGGTCTGAGCCAGCATTCTGTATCTGGGTGGGCATGAGGCAATATAATGGGTGATATTTTCAAGAACACTTAAGGGACATAGATGCTTCAGGTCCATTTTCAAAGGTGATTTAGGCTCCTAAGTCACATTCAGAAGTGGAACGTAGGCACTTCCATAAGTGTTACTTTGTGGCTATGAATTAGAATAGATTCAAAGAGTGAATTGAGGTAGTGAGCAGCCTAACTGGTTGCGGCCATCATTTGCTACAATAACTGCACAGCGTCTGTACACCCCTCTATCAGCATATAAGGGCTGTAAAGACTGTAAATGAACTGCAAGGTTCCAGGAGGAAGTTCCCACTACATTGCCATCTTTTGTAAGTCCTGGCATAAGGGAATTGTGGAAGTGGGACTGAGGTAATCAGAAAGTGGAGTAGCGATAATGGTCTCACGTCAGCCCATAGGCAACCTGGGATAATAACTTACATTTTAGCAACTACCACAGCCCAGAGTATGAGAGGAACAAAGATACCTTCTACTACCGTGGTCACCAACCGGTAGATCGTGATCTACCGGTCAATCTCAGGGGCTCTAAGAGTCGCTCTTGAACCCTCTCTGAACTGCGCGCTTGCGCAGTACATTTAAATTTGATTTCCTCATTTGAGGAGCAGCTACTCACCGAGCAACAACACAGATGAGTAGCTGCGTGGAATGGTGGGAGCTGGGAGGTCGGGAGGGCTGAAGCACCCTGGCCAGCTGGCTGTGGCTTTCAGCTGAAAGAGGCTGCCCCATGCTCCAGCTGATCGGGCGGCTTCTCTGCGTCTGCCCACGTGGAGTGTGGGGCACGCTGGCTGAGCGCCATGGCCAGCTGGCCATGGCGCTCTGCCAGGGTGTACCACGCTCCATGGGCAGGCACAGAGGAGAAGCTGCCTGATCAGCTGGAGCACGGTTCAGCCTCCTCTGGGCTGGACACCAGCCAGCTGGCCAGGCAGCTTCCCCTCTGCACAAGCCCACGAGGAGCATGGTGCACCTTGGCTGAGCGCCATGGCCAGCTGGCCAGGCAGCTGCTTCTCTTTGCTCCAGCCCAGCTGCCTTGCACTCAGCCCAGGGAGGCTGCGCCTAGCTTCAGCTGTGCTGGAGCAAGCTTCCCGGGCTGAGCGCAGGGCAGCCGGGCGGGAGCGAAGAGAAGCGGCTTTCCCCCCCGCCGGCCCTGGTGCTCAGCCAGGGTGCACCAAGCTCCAAGTGGGCTGGTGCAGAGAAGCTGGTTGGCCAACTGGCTGTGGCCTTCAGCCTGGAGGAGGCTGAACCATACTCCAGCTGATCGGCGGCTTCCCCTCTGCGCCTGCCCACGTGGAGCATGGTGCACCCTGGCTGAGCACGATGGCCCGCTGGCCGGGGAGACCCATCTCT